CTCTATGGTTCTGTGTAGTTCTTTGAGATAAATGTTTTAGAACGTCAGGTGTTATTTCCATCAGCCATGTTCATTTCATACTGGTCCAAAATATCTGCATGTTCATATCTTTCAATGGCATTAAAGCCGCGCTTAAAATACCAGCTATATCTGGTTCACCATTGACTTCCATTGCGTCTACAACTCTTGGAATTGAGGTTGTAAGTTTATGAACCACCTATCCGGGTTAGCTTTTGACCCCATCTCATTGTAGTTCCATCGTCTGCAGAAACAAAAGTAGGTTTGTTTCCATCTTGGTTAGGTTCTGAATGAACTTTAAACAATGTTTCATTTCTATATGTTTTCTTGAAATTTAACCTTTTATTTCACCGATTCATCCGAAGATTGAACGTTAAATGCTCGTAAGTAAAAAAGGTTGTTGTATTTGTGTACATTTTTTTCAGTTCTTCCATTCTATGCTGAATATTTTCATCTGGTGTTGGAGTCTTTTGTATGTCGGCAAAACATTTTTCGATATTCTTCTACTATGTCAGCCGAATCTTTCTTAGACTCTTGGAAAGATTCCATATTCACCTCATGCTCTTGTTGGGGTCAAGATTTTTTCGGCTGTTCCAAATCTTCATCTAGTTCTGTGAAGTTAGTTTCCAAAGGAGTGACTTGTTCGTTTCCTTCAGGCTCTTCTAGCTGTTGTTGCTGAACTATTTCTTCCATGTCTGGTTGTATCTGAACTATTTCTTCCTGTGGAGTTTCTTGTACCTCATCTGCTGGCATTTCATATATTCCGAGACCGTTTTTAACAATTTCCCTATCTACGTCATCCGCATTCATAAGCTTTTGTTCTTTCGTTCCGTCTCTATTTTTTACGCGTTTCATGACGAAAGTTGAATTGTCATTTAGCTCTGACATCAAATATCTCGGAGTAAATTCATCCATGTCATTTGGATGATATGCCTATTAAATCATATCCCTTAGCGAGCTTGTATTTTCCAGGTTTGAGATTATATCCGTTTTGGTGCTGAGCCATAAAGCTAAATAGGTTCGGGTCAGTATTTCCATCCTTGAACTTTCCAATAGCTTCTTTATATCTGTCACTAAAGTCAACAGTATCTGGGAAACCACACTCTTCTTAAGCATTTTTAAGAATTCTTGGTTTCCTTGTTCTCTACTTCTTTTATGTCCTTGCTCTGTTTGTGGTTGTTGTGGTGCAGTGTTTTGAACTGTTGGTTGTGGTGCAGTGTTTTGAACTGTTGGTTGTGGTGCAGTGTTTTGAACTGTTGGTTGTGGAGGTGGTTGTTGTGCAGGGTTTTGAACTGTTGTTGTTGTTTGTTGGTTTGGGCATGCCTGTGTCTGTGTCCATGTGACGATGTAAATGTTCTAGGTAGTCCTGGTGCAGGTGCTTCTCTTGGAGGGTTTGGTGGTATATAAGTTCCACCAGCTGGCACATATGTTCCATCTGCAGCGTAATGTCCTACCTGACTTTTCGTTCTTAAGAAAGCATTTACTAGGTCTGTTTTGGTCTGTTGTAACTCTTTTTCTTGACTTTTCACAACAGTTGCTCTAACGGCGTCATAGGCACTTTGAACTGCCTGTCTCGTTGCTGCATCTGTTATTTTCGTCATATTTTGTGCTACTCTTTTAACTCTTTGTCGAAACCTTCAGACTTCAGTTTCTTTCCAGATGAGAAGTCGTTCACTTGTTTCACCTTACTATGAAGAGCTTCGAAGGCGTTCTTAAAGTCAGCATTTGTTAAAGCTTCATTTGAACTGTCTTTCATCCGCTTGTATTTTTGTCCTTATTGACCCTATGAGTTGGGCTGCTTTAGCGTTGGCTTGGCATCTAACCAGTCATTGTTAGCTTTTATATATTCTGCGCTTTTCATTGCCTTTTGCATAGCCGCGTCGTTATTTTTACTTTCTTGTGCTAAGTTTTCATACTGTACGGTTTGGTTTTGCAACTGTAAAAGTTTTCTGCCTTTACATTTGCTTCAACTTCTTTTTATACTCATCGCTATCCATATATGTCTTCAGGGCTTTTTGTTTTATTTCTTCATCTTTCAGTATTTTATATTGAGTAGTATGGTTTTTCAAATTTATGACATCTTGTTCCATTTTTGCTACTTCTGTTGCTTTTTCTGACACTTTTTTTCGCATATTCCTCTGTACTTAGTTCTTTCAGTTGTTCTTCTTTCTTCTTTTTCTCTACGTTTAACTCATTGAGTTTCTTTGTGTGTCTGTCATATTCTAGTTTCTTTTCGTTTTCACTTATTTGTTTCTGTATGTCTATGTTTGACTTTTTGACATCTGTTATTTGATTTTGAGTGAACTCAAATTCATTTGACTTTGAGGGTTATAGGCTGTTCCGTCTGCAGCTCCACCATAGCCTGCCATTTTCGCTAAAAGTGCCGCTCTTAAACCTCCACTCTGTGCACCAAGAACTCGGTTTAAAAGCATAGGATTGCTTGACATTTGTTGCAACATAGTGGGTCATTCAGCATTTGTTGTTGCAACTGTTGTTGTGTGTCAGTTTTACTATTGGATGTTTCAATGCTCTCTTCCTCTTACGTATATTCTTACGTAGCTTACGTGGCATTTTAAGTGAAGTTAAAAAGCGGTTTTTGACAGATGTTTATATGACACTTTTTGTTCAGCACAAAAAACTACTCGGTCAAAGTGTTGTCAGTTTTGTAAAATAACCGTCCTATCTCATTCTATAAGGGGGAAAGTCTTCTCAAAGTATACTTCCTTGGAACGCCTGTAACTTTTCCTGTAGCGACGATAGACCCTTACTTGTCCGGACAAAGCTGTACTATTTTGAGTGCTCTACAAAAAAGTCAACGGCTACGACTCTCAAAAACCGTTGTGTAAAAAGTTTTACCGTTGGACAAAAAAGTATATATAGAAAACAAAAAACGTTTATAGTTCATTCAATATTTGAGATGGAACGGTTTGCCAACGGTAACTATTAAATAAAATAAAAAAATAGAGGGGGTTACCGTTGACGAAAACGGTTTATTTTAAACTTTTCTATGAGTAGTCCGAAAAAAACAGTTTATTTTTGTCTAATGGAAGCCAACATTAACAATTCTCAACCGCTAACCAAAGCCAAAGCCCACAACCTCCAAGAACTGGCACAGCTGTTAGAATAACCGCCAAAAAGTCTAACAGCGAATTAAGAGAAATTCTTCAACAAATTTGCTCTAAATATCTCAAAGACGCCGAAGAAAACACACAACCAGACGCTATATACAATACTCAGTTCTGTGAAGTTCTGAACAAAGCAATTGCTAGTTCAATTGAACTTACTAAGACAATTCCAAGTCCAATTGAGCTTAGCGATGTCTTAGTTCAGTATTTTCCAACATTTACTAAGCTTATAATGTTGAGAACTTTATACCAAGTTCGTCAAAATCTTCCTCGTAACATCCAACGGTCATTCGACAAGACAATTGCCGAATTCCAAGTCTTTAGTTACGGATATGACCAAGATGAATACGTTGACGAGTTCGGAGACAACTGTACAAAATGGTTTGAATGCTATACGACAACACAATTTGAATTCGACTTTCTCGAATTCAACGCAGCAACCATTTATATCATTGCTCTTTACCTTTCCGAACAACAACAAGACCTCGCAGATGGAGATGTTGTTACTGTCGTCATGGAAACTCCTGAACAATTCGGAAAAAAGAAGTCTCTAATTGCCAAATTTGTTCCAGGACATCAGCTTTTCCAACGCACAGAAGTCTTCTGTATTCCTGGAACTAAGTTCTTTGTCAAGAGCGAACTCAAACAAAGATATAATGTGTCATTCAATTACACATTATATAATGTTTTCGACCCAGAAGAAGACTTCTTCCCAGAAGCAATGGAAGAGGAAGAAGAAGAGAAACACGAAGAAGAGAAACACGAAGAGTCCTCCGAATTCACACCAGAAGACTAACAATTTTCCGAATAAAAACCTCATTTTATACTAAACATCTTCGGGGCTAGAAGGGGCGCAGCCCCTGGAAGCCCCATTACCTTTTTTTTTTTTTTTTTTTTTTTTTTTTTTTTTAGTTGTAGTATTATCTTTTGAAAACGGCGTTATTATTTTTTATCGAAGATATCTAACTCTTGAAGATAGTTAAACGCTTCTTGAATGATGCAGCAAGGATGGATATGAAGTTCTATTTCTATATTAATGCGTTTACCTTGAATATATCTATTTGGAGGCGCAATAGTTTAGAAAGAATACCCCTAGGAAATATTTTTTTCTAACCAAAATACCTTTTTTTTAACTTATAAAAATTATAAGACTAATGTAGCGCAATATATAAAATTTTTGATAAAGAGACAATATACAAAAAAATCAAACAATATGGTTATCATTTCCCAATCAACCCATCTTAGCGACATAAGCGAAGGATAACTGCGACTTCGAACAGCAGAATAAGCACCTTCTGCTAATTGCCGTTATTCTTCTCTGTCTACTAGAAAACTGAGAAGCTTTGTCTAAATCCTCAGCGATCTAGTAGAAACTAAAGGTTGTGGGGGTACTAATATAAAATCAGTGCCCCACAGCCTTTATGTTCTTAGAAAAAAAAAAGAGAAAACCTGCTCGCAATTGTTCCGCATTGTTAGCAAGTTTTCTCTTTTCAAGGGAGGAATTGCTCCTTATGAGGTACACAGTATGAACATATACCTCATAAAGAGCAATTCCTTCTAGATAGTTGGGAAACTTTTAAAGTATAATAAAATACTTTACGAGTCCGTCACTTTTACGGATGTGTCACTTTTTTATAAAATGTCCGTCACTCAAATTGTTTAATCTTATATATCTTTCTCAATAAATTGTGGAGAGAGAAGGAGGTTTCCTTCAAACAAATTAACTGTTTTCTTAATGTTTAAATGAATGGCAGAAACTTTGTTGACAAATTAAAACAATAATCCAATATATCCAAATTTTATAAGATAAAAAAAAAATTTAAAATTAAAAGAAAAAATCAACAAAAAATTACTTCATCAAAAGAAGTCATCACTATCATCAATATAGTAGTAAGGTTCGTCATCATCCGATGTTGCATCCATGCCACCATCTGAATAGTTATACGTCCAATGAGATTGATAAGAGTTTTGTTTAGCTCCAAGTTGTAAAAGAAGTTGATAAATTTCTTTATTGTTATGGTGAGATGCATAAGATATCGCAGAATTTCCGTTTGGTTCGGTCTTATTCAGATCTGGATTAAATTTAAGAATAATTTTAATCAATTCAGAGTCTTTGCATGTGTGTTTATTATAAAGTGCTTCCATGGGAGGTGTTCTACCGTTACAATTTTGGCAATTTATATCAAATCCTGATTTCATCAGAAACTCGATTGACTTTTCTATTAATTCATAATTAATCTCAAAGTAATCATAGTCATCAAAATCATCACTGTAATCATATTCATTGTAATACACTATCTGTATTACTTTTTATATTAAAATCTGTGATTTCATTTTTCAATATTTCTACAATTTCTTCATTGTAGTAATATATGATTTCGAATAACAATGGATTAGTAAATGGTAATATATTTCCAGGAATTATATTATGCTTATGTTGCGAGATTATTTTGACCATCTCAACTCTTCGAAGTCTAATTGCAAGGACCAATGTATTAAAAGGTACTGTATCAACTGTCTGTAATAGTTCTATAAATATCTCAATTAAGTTTGATAATACTGCTTGGTTAAGGCATAATGTTTTGTCAGCATCACTTTTTGTGAATTCGCTAACATATCTCTTAGAAATTTCTTTATTTTTTTGCTTGATTGCTTCTTCCAAAACAGTATTATCATTGAGATAGTAATTGATGAAATCCAATAAATCAATGTTATCTTTGGCAATACAATATCTAATTGTATTCTGTATTGGATACTTATAATCTACTTTAAATGGTGTGAAATCCTTGTTTCTTTGTTTCAGATCAATAGAAGATAACAGATCTTCATAATATTTAATATCATATTTTGATAAAATATTCATTAAAGCAGGGATTCATTGATAGCATGTCATAACATTAATACCTTTTGAGATAAGAAATCTTGTCAATTTGATTGAAAATTTTTGGATAACAAATATTAGTAATGGCATTCCATTGATCACTAGATTATCCATGCTTTGCAATTTGTCAAAAAGCTCCATAAGAACAAATTCATTAGGATTGTGATCATTTAATAATTTAATAACTGAACTCTGTATTGATTCTTGATCAAATTTTGAATTGTCAAGCAGTAATTTCATTAAATCTGGGTTTCCGTATGCAAATGATAGTGCTGACAATTCATTCATATCAATACCTAAACCAATCAAAGTTTCATTAAATTGATATAAGAATTTATCTCTGCTATCAAAATAAAAGTTATTTTGATTTCCTTTCATGACTTGTTCATAAAGCTCTTTCAAATTTATTTGATAGATTTGTCTCTTTGAAATTAATGCTGATATTATATCATTGGACATTGTTTTAATGGCAAAATTAAGTATGGTTTGATATTTGCATGCAAATTCTTTATCAATCAATTCAACAATTAATTTTATCCAAAATTCACTAATATTTCTATATCCATAGATATACATTTGTTCATTCAAAGCATTGATAATGTTCTCTATAAGCATTGATCGATTCTTTATATTGTTAATTTTTCCTGAATCAAGCAAAACTTTAACAATTGGAAATGATTTCTGATTTATTGCTTCTGCAAAAAGATCAATAGGAACTTGATCCATGAATGACATGAGATACTTTGCTAATTCGACGGAATTGAATTTAATTGAACTGAATAATGCAGTTTGGATCATTTTTGTGTTAATATTATCACTTTTGATAATGCAACCTTTTTCGAGAAGCAATTCTGCAACTTTTAATTTGCCAATTTGAATAGCATATGTCAAGGCGGGGATTCCATTAATTGAGAAATCTCCATTTGGAATATTTTGAATGATTTTTATTTCAATTTTTGTTGTAACTTGAGATTTACATTTAAATAAATATTGAAGTGATTCAAATAAATCTTTTTCTTTGAAATAATTTGAATCAATTAATGGCTCTAGTACTTTATATCTTTGATATTTGCATGCAATTAACATTGGTGATGATGATTTGAAATCTAAATTGATATTTTTTGATTTTAGAACATGAATGAAGTGTTTGAGATATTCATTCTTATTGAATTCTATCATAAATTTTGTGTATAATTGTTCAATGTTGATGCAATTCAAATATCCCTTTTCAACTAAAATATCTAATGTTTCATTAGATTGTAATTTAAGTGCCATATTTATAATGTTTTCATCAGATTTCTTCTTGAAATCCAATTCTTTATAACTTTGAAGGAGTAAAATGAAAATTTCTATATCACCTGTCTTATAGGCATCAATAAATATTGATAAATGATTATTCATTTTGAAATCGTGATCTAAAATAACTCTGACTTTCTCATAAGAATGATTTATAACTGCATAATACAGCATTGGATGCCCATGTTTTGGTTCATTGAAATATCCAGGATACTTGTCTAATAATACTTCTAGAGTACTTTCGCTGAAACGAGTAATCATTTTTTCTCTTAATACTTGGTTTTCATGGATTCCTTTGATATCTAATCCATGACGAATCAACATCGTCATTATTTCATCAGTTCCTGTATTCAAGGCATACAGAAGAGATTCTTTTCCAAATTGATCTTTTCCATTGATATCCACACCAAGATCCAGCAAGTACTGAATAATTTTGTACGATTGAGATTCAAGAGCATAAATAATTAATGATTTTTTGTTATTAATCTTGTCGTTAATGTTGGCTCCGTTATTAATAAGATAATCCACTAATTCGAAGCATTTCCTCTTTATTGAAAGTATTAATAATGATTCTTCATATGTGTTATTTGATTTATTCATTTTGCAAATCATGGTTGTATTTGCATTTGCACCAAGTTCTAATAAGATTTTCGCCTTTTGAGGTTCGATTTCATTGATCTTTTCAATTAAAAATTTATCAAGATCGGACTTTGCAAGTGCTGAGCAATATAATTTAAAAATATCCAATTTTGATCTTAATATTGTGTTTTGATTCATTTGGAAATGTATTTTTGCACCTTTTTTAAATAGGAATTCAAATATCTTCTGACTTCCTTGTTTCATTGCTTCAAGTAACATATAATTTTGGTTGAATTGATATAATAAGTGATTGTTGAAAAATTTTTCGAATGTTTGATAACAATCCAATCTTATAATGCTACTGAGTTGGTAATTATTAATGCTATAACTGTTTTCAACAAGAAAATCAATTGTCTTGAAATCATCAGATTGTAATATAGATTGAAATTCCCTATCATTAATTAAATTACCGTTTTGGAGTGATATTTTCGCCAAATCAAATAATTCCATATTCATTAACAAATCAAGATTGTTTCCTATATTATTGTAAATGCAATAGCAAAATGCTTTAATGTTCAATGAACCAAGACAAAAAGTTGGATCTAATTCTTTCGTTTCGTAATTTGATAATATCCAATCTGCAATTTCATTTCTATGAAACTCTATTGCTGTATCCAAATAATCTCCAAAATCATGTCCTGATTCGTGTAAAATATTGATGATTTCAATATTTCCCGTTATGACTGCCAGTTTACATGTATCATTAGTTTCTTTCACTCAATTCAGTATCAAAAATCGGAAAATATCGATGTTTTCGCTTAATACAACACAATCTATAAGTGAATAAAAGCCATATTCCATTTGAAAATTCTTTTTTTCCAGAAAGAATGATTTGAATTTATCTACATCATTATTTGTAATCATTGATATTACATCATGTCCATTATGATAACGATTCTCGAACAGGCTGTAGAGATAAACGTCAGAAGATCCATATTTTACGAATTTAGATTCAGAGTCAAAAAACTTTGAATTTGTTAAGAATTTACGGAAAAAGTTGAGAGTTATCATTAGTTGCTTGCCATTGGAAGGTAAATAATCATTTTCATGAGATACAATATTAAAATTACCTTGAAAAATTTGTTCCCAAATAGCTTCCGAAATATTATAAAATTTTAGCATTGATGATGGGATTTCACATGTAGATATATCATATGCTTTCATGCCATCTTAGCATTGGAGACAAGTAAACGATCAAAAAATCATGTCTTATAAATCGACAAGATTGAAAGCTTGCAAAATAATTCATATTTCCTATTAGATAATTGAGTTCAATGTGAATCATTTCTAATTTTGTCAGAAACATTGTTTTTAATTTGTCATCCTTTAAAATTATTTAATTTTACATCAAGTTAATTCATATACGAAATAATGCTTTAATGATTTGATAAATTCAAAAAGTATCAATAATTTTGAATGATTCAAAAAAAAAATTGATAAAAACATTAAAGCTCAATCAAAAACCATGAAAAATTAAATGTTTGGGCCAATATTAAAAATAATTTTAAAAAATTATAATTAAAATTTAATAATCATGCCAATACGAATCTTCATCACTATCATCAATATAATATATGTCATCATCTGATTCATCGTAATCTGAAATTCCAGGCACATGAGAGAAATCAACATCATTTGCATTATGAATGAGGAGTAATTTTCTAACAGAGGAACTTTCGTAATATTTAGCATAGGATAGAGCAGTATTATTATAAATATCAACTTTATTGACATCTGGTTTAAAGTGAAGGATTGTTTTAATCAAATCAGCATTATAGTTTGTAAGATGATAAAAGCATGCATAAATAAGTGGAGTCCTTTTATTATCATCTTCAATATCAATATTGAAACCTGATTTCATAAGAAACTCAATAGCTTTTTCGATGTTCGCAATTTTTTTCATATAGAACAAAACTGGTTTTTCTGGTGTAAAATCGCCAACAATTCGTGGGTTATAATCATACATATAAATCAGATAATGCAATGCACTCATTCCATTTTGAATTTTTATGTTGAAATCTTCTATATCATCTTTAATAATATTTGCGATATCTTCGTCGAAGTTGGTGATTAATTTGAAAAGTAATGGTGTTGTTGTATATTCATTTCTTTGAACTTCATATGCATCAGAAGGTTTTGTTTCATGACTATGATTTTTGATAAGTTTAACAATTTCTACATTTTCATTCCAGATTGCATCCACCAGGATTTCGTAAGGAACGATAGTAACACTCTTTAAAATTTCACCAAAAATTTGATGCGATTCTTCATCTAAAGCATGACTCAAATAATCAGTTAATTCCTTTTGATCTGAAATTTCCATTTTGTTGAAATAATGATAAAATATCTCATAATTTGTTTGCTTTATTAGTATATTAATAAAGTCATTTTGATTAATATTGATGTAATATAATATGTAGTCAATCAATTTAATGTTATTTCTCTTAATTCCCATATTAATTGCATTAACAATTTTGGAATATAAATTGCATTCAATCGGTTTGAATTTTTCATTTCTTTGATCGAGGTCAATTTTTTCAATTATGCTATTATAGAAATATTCATTATCATCTCTTGATAATAAATATATAATTGCTGGAACCCCTTGATAAGATTGATTGAAGTCAATACCTTTTGACAAGTAATGACATAAGGCATTATATGAAGATTTCAAACACATTTTGATAAAAAATGGCATTTCTTCTTCATAAAAATTATAATTAGTAATTTTTTCGATAATTGTAATTAAAAGATCATCACGCAGATAACTTGAATCTAGAGCATGCATAATTGCTTTATGTAACGTTTTTTCGCTGAAGTTTGATCTCTTGGATAGCAATTCCATTAAATGCAGGTTATATTTCGAAATCTCGAACACATTTTCTTGTTCAAAATCCAAATCAATTCTGTAATCCAGAAGCATTTTATTAAAATCTTCTATAAAGTTATCCCCATATTGTGAATAATATGAAGTATATTCTATATTTTGATTTGTCATAACTCTCTTATAGAGTTGATAAATATCAATGCCATATTCATCACGCTTCTTAATCAAGAACTCGAGAATCTTAATGGATCTGAATTTGCAGGCATAATCAATTATTTTTGATTGGTCTCCTATGAATCCTTTTTCAAGAAGTTTTAGGAGAATATTAACTCGATCATCATCAAAATAAAGCATCGGAATTTTTTTCATCATTGAACAATATTTCAATAAATGACGAAATATTTTCTTTGATGCTGGACAATATAATAGAAAGCGGAATTTCTGGAGTGGCATCTAATAAATAATTTAAAATTTCTTTTGATTTCTCCTTAATAGATTTGAGTAACCACTTCCCAATAATGTCATTACTTTCAAAAACAATCGGAGAGCCAATATTGAAAAGATATTCAGCCGCAGGAATTGATATTGCTTCGACTTCATTTTCTAGAATTTGTTGTGCCATTTGATGGATTACAATGGGCTGCACTTTTGAAACAATCTGATTTAGGACTTGTAAAATATCTGGATTATCATTCTTCCATTTAAATCTGGTCAAATAATAAATAGCTTCTGATAAATCCTTTTCCCTATATAGTTTATTATCAATAAGAAATGGTATTATTGAAATTGCTCTATATTTGCATGCAATTATTAAGGGAGACGTTTTTCTGAAATGTAAAATCATATTTCTTTCATTAATCAGTTGGAAGTAATGCCTGAAAAATTCTTCATTTTTTCTATGCTGAGCTAATTGAACAAATATTTTTTCGGGACTATTGTACTTGAAAAGACCTTTCTCAATTAATAAATCCAATAAATTAGAATCATTACTCCTTATTATAATGCTAATTATGTACTTTAAGAAATTTTTGATCTGACTTAGATCATTAACACAACATAAAAGCAGATGATCATTGTAATTATCATGGCGAGTTCTAAATGACTTAATTAAATAATTGCCATAGAAATCAGCGAATCCAACATGTTTTTCAATAACTGATCTCAATATTTGTGAACTGAAACATGTCTCCATTATTGCATCATAATCAGATTTGATGATCTCCATTCCATGCTTTAACATTAACTGCATGATATCTACTGATCTAGTAGCCAATACATAATCAATTGATTTTTTGCCATTTTTGTCTTCTCCATTAACATTGATGCCATGATCAATCAAATATTGAATAATTTCCAAATCGCAAGTTTCAATGACATAAATAATTAATGGTTTTGGATTTTGAATTTCAAGATTAATCTTTGCTCCGTGTTCGATTATATATTTAATTAAATCTAATTTTCTCCTTTTAACAGCACTCATTAAAATAGATTCTTCATATGGTTCAGAATATGATGTTATGTAATTAAGATATTCGTAATGAGCCATACCAACGGCATTTATATTTGAACCTAACTCAATCAGAATTTCAATTTGTTGAACTGTGTTGCAATAAAACATTGCTTGATTTAATTCTGTTTGCGAATATTTTGAAAATGCCAATCTAAGAAGATTGATTGGTATGGAATCCAAATATGATTTGTTTCGAGAGATGTCAAGTTTTTCTCCATGTAATAACAAAAATTCCAAAATTTTGAACGATTTATATTGAATTGAGTAATTAACTAACTCACCTGGTTTAATTTCTATTAACAATTGATTGCAATAGAATCTTTCAAATATTTTAATTGAATTAGTTTTAAAAATATAACAAGCTAGATAATCCCCTATTTGATACTTGTTTTCAATTAATAAATCAACAATTAATTCGTTATCAAGGTCAAGTTTATCCAAAAAATGACGTGGATCCGTATTTAAACAATAGAACTTGATATCGGGAAATGCCTGGTAATATTTCAGCTGAGTTATTACATCTATAGAACCTGAGATTTCATTTTTGAAACAGAAAGATAAAGCTTTAATATTTAAGCTTTCAGCACATACAAAAGGATTGATGGAAATTAATGGATAGTTCATTAAAATCCAATCTGCCATTTCATTTTGATGATATTGAATAGCAGTTTGAAAATGATCAACAAATTCATAGCCGAGTTCATATAATATCTCTACAATTTCGATGTTTCCTGTTATAATAGCAAGTTTGCATGTTTGTTCTGTAATTTGGAAACCATTGAGTTTCAGAAATCTAAAAATTTCTTCATTTCCTTTGATTGCAGCACAATCAATTAATGGATAATAGTTATCATTACCATATTCCAAAACTTTATTATTTTCATTAAATAAGCCCTTAAATTCTTCAAACATATCGTTATCAATCATATCTAATGCTTTGAGATAGATATTTTTGTATTCTTCCGTTGATTGGAATTTATCTTTCAAATATTTCTCTTTTGTTTTTGAAAAAATGTAACTGCATGGCTGAATATTTTTGATATATGCGGATACAATCTTATTAATACTGCCATTAGTTCTTAATTCATCAATATTATCGATAAAGTTTCCTTCAAAAATGCGTTCCCAAATTTTTTCTGAATCATCATATATATCTTGTAATGCAGGTTCAACACCGCAAGAGGAAATATCTGGATATTTGAAACTATCCACATAATACATGTATTTCTTTTAAAAGTGATGTGTCGTATGCAAACTTTCGAATGGTTTACAACCTTCAATTAGATATAATATGAAATAAAGAATATTACACAAAATTTTAATGTCATTAGTATACAGTTCTATTCTAATTGTTGACTTTGTTCCTCTTCTTCAGGACTTGTTGAGATATTGTGCATCAGATTAGGAACAAAGACTTCAATACCGTTAAAAACAGTATTTTAGAACATATTTCAGCTTCAGAAATTCTATGTCCTCAAAACTTGCATCATCTTGTAAAAATTTTTTGAAATTCTGATGTAGGGTGTCTTATTAAAGTCTGGTATTTTAAAGAATTGAAATTCAAATAGGCTTTTAATGCTAAGAAGAAAAGATAGAAATAATGCTTATAACTACAATAATTACACAAAAATTTTATAACAAATATAAAAAATAGCAAAACCACATCTACTCGCATAAGATACTATTGGAATTTTCTTCTTTGCTGTGAGAATCGGCCAAATAAATATGCTTTGAGGATGATTTCGGAAATCTTCCGACCCAGTACTGTTCATTATCCAGTGATACTGTAGCAAGCTTAATTCCTATATCATTGTGTCCTGGAATTACTAAGTTATAAAACTCTATTCCGCTTACGTATTTAGACTTTTTCAATTTTATGAGCATCTTAGGCTGTTGATAAGGATCTGAAACTTGCATTAAAAATGGATCAGAAAATGTCCCTGTTATTGAGTCTTTTTGAATGATTGAAGTCGGGTTCGTGAAATCAATTGTATTTTCGAAGAAAATTTCTTCAATGTCGTGAGAGGTAAATGGTGTGCCATTTTCATCTAAAATTTCCATTCCGTTAAATCCGAACATATCTTTATCACCATAATTTCTCAAAAATTTGAAAGAAATACTGTGAACTCTCCTTATTGGTAATGCACCTAATGAGTCATGAATGGGATGTTTTCGCTGCTGCTCTACAAATATTTGTGAGAGCGTTTGCTTTGTTTTTAAGCTCAACGGTGTATTATGAACTAAGGAAACTTCCGTACCATATTTTAATGGAACTTCCCATGTAATAATTGGTGAATCTCCGAGTGAGATCTTAAAACGGCGTAATGAAGAACTATCATCATATAAAGAATTCCAAATTCTGCAATATCGTGGTTCGCAGCTAGGATCGAAAAAGAATGAAATAACTATGTTGCTTTCAAGATTAGAAATCGGATATGAGAAGAGGTTTTCTCTTGATTTTTTAATCAATTCTCGGTTCGATATGTTATTTAGCATGTTTAGATCGGAAATCTGATCACTTTTTACATAAAGTGGAGAGATCCTTCTCCGTTCTTCGTCTAAAAACCATATTGCTGAACAAGTTATCAAATCTTTGGATCTCCAAGTTTCCAATAACTCTACGTTATATACAAGTTGATCAAGTTCAAGATGTGATGGTAATTGAAAGTCACCTTGTAGCGAAGGAAGCATTAAGGGAATTGATCCAGCAAAACTCCTGTGTTTATGTAGAGATGATAACTTTGTAGAACTAGACGGGTTAACTATTCGATTTTGACGACGCTTTCTAGCAAAGAGACCTGAATTGGAATTTTCCATATGAAATATGATTGAATGAAGTTTGTATTGAATTTATTTTCTGAGATGAGGTAGGAAATTACCTTGATAGAAATGTTGTTAAAAATATTATTATTATTAAAAACCCCTTCGTAACTTTCTATTGAAAAATTGTGATAAAGTTTAATAAATCAAGTTTAATTTTGTTATCTAAACTTATAATGTAAATTAAAATTATTGTTTAATAATGTTGTAAAATTCATTCAAAACGGTCTTGAGTTTAGAAATTTAAATATTTAAAATGCATTATCTTTTTATATGATTTTGTCATCACTCAAAAGTACAAACAAAACTGTCAAAAAAATATCATTCTTAAATTTATTATCTTTCAAAACTGTATTTACGATTTTTAATTGCGGATTTACTTTAGATTGGAATATAAGAACAAATGATATTGTATCATTTGAATTTCAATTCAAAATAAAATACGATATATTCATGAATTATCGTATCATCAAATTTATATATGATTTTTAAAATTTTTTCTAATTTCTCAAAGTTTGATAATTGTCAGATCATTGAACTCAAAAATCAAACTTTTGTTAGATTATATCAATAATTCAATTGTTTATCTTTGGGCTATAAGATTATATGTATTAATCTATAAAACTCATTTTATTTTTGTTTAGATTTGTTTCGAGATATTCGAAAAATAATAGTATGCGATGCACACATCCTATTATTAATCAATTTAACTGTTCCGAAGTTACAATTTAAAAAAAAAATTATATTTCTTTTAAAAATTGATGCAATTTATAAATTAAATAAATCTATTATTTTTATGAATATTTAATGCTATTTAAAAAATAATGTATTCCGAGAAAAATAAATATGTTGCTTTTGTTTATATTTTTATGTGCAATAATATTTTTATTTCCATGATAAAATATAAAATTGTCTTTAAACATTAAAATCAAACAATTGAATTTTCAATTAAATTTTCTAGATAACGCTTTTCTGCTTTGATAGCATAATCCTTTTAAATTCAAATGAAGGAAATGCTGAATGAGAATTAATTTTTGGCAACTTTGAGAAAGATTTTGTGATAGGTTTCACAATAAAATCGCTTTTCTTTGTGTTGCAGCATTGAAGTCGATCAGCAGTTTGATCTGAACAAAAATACCTGTGCATTAATATTTGGTTTATATCAGCCCGATAATAAACATCTGGTTCCAAGCATTGGGCAATTACATCTCTTAGAAGAGGATCTTTAATCAAATCCTCATTATAAAGGCCTTTTAAAATATTATCGCGAATCGATTTTTGATCCAACCCATTGAATGGGTATTTTCCTGTGGCAATAAAGTACATAGTAACTCCCAGAGACCATATATCCGCTTTCATAGGATTAAACTTTTCAATTCCGAAAAGTTCTGGTGCCATGAAATATAAAGTTCCCTTAAATGAGGATATTTGTGATTTTTGATTATCGCAAATAACAGATAGTCCAAAATCAGAAATTTTAATTCTTCCATATTGATCTATTAAAAAATTAGAAGGTTTAATATCGCAATGTGCTATTTGATTTTCGTGACAAACTTTTACACATCGAACAATTGCATCAACATATTTATGAATTAGATCATTTTGTAATAATCTTTCTCTGTCTTGTATGATTTTATTCAAGTCGTTCGAACAATATTCCATTATTAAATAGACGTATGAATTAAATTGAAAATACATATACAAATGAACAATTTTTGGGTTGTCAATGGCCATAAGGCAATCTATTTCTATTTTATTAAAGAATTGTTCAGGAATTTTCTTGAGAGCAAAGTATGTTTTGTATATTGTATGATATACCATATATATTGAAGCGAAACCCCCTTGTGCAATAGATTCGACAACTTCGATGCCGTGAAATTTTAGAAAAGTGATTTCATTGCTCTCCATAATGTAATAAAATCGGTTAATTTTTTTTTCAAAAGAGTTTCAATTTAATTTTAAGGGAATAAAGAAAAGAACTTGGATTTAAATAGTTAGTGTACTTAAAAAATTGTGATAAAATAAAATATTAAGTAATAATATAACGTAAGTAAAAATATAAAACTTATCAATCATAAGATGTGATTAATAATGATTGAATTTTTTTTTTCAAAAGAAACAAATCAAAATATTTGAGGAGAAGAATAAAAATTCAAAAGATGAAAATTTTGAAAATAGTACTTTTTTAATTAGAAATGTAAATGTAGAATATTTTTAATTTGGGTTAAATTTTATTTGACCCAAATTTGGATTAAGAAAATGATATGAGTAAAATCTAAATTGTAATTACAATTTCTGAAATTATTTTTTGAAAGAAATATTTTTTGAGATAACATTCAAATTACGAAGATAGTTGACAATCGAAATAAAAATTGACTCGAGAATTACGATATGAACTGAACATGAATTAGAATTTCTGAGTTAATAACCATCGGAAAGATTTCCATTATAACAAAACTAACGTTAAGAATACACAAAAGAAATAGCAAGGTCATATTAAATATATAAAGTATTTTTCATGAAACCATTTGTTAAAATTAAGAGGATTGCAAAATATTTTTAATAAAACAACAAAGAAATAAAATCTGCTTTAGAACAAAATATAGAACAATAGTAAATCATAACAACATGTTATAAACAGCCAATTCTGTTTTCGAATTTTGAATTTGTTTAAAAAGCATAAATATAAAAACTATAAGAATTATTAAACTAAGAGAACATAAACTTGAAGTAATTAATTAGACTATTGAGTTTGGAAAAATGACATCATTAATAATGGATTAATAGATGAATGTATATGCTAAATGGCGTACAATTTGTATCACAGTATCTTCCTGATTAATTTTTGACATTATTAATTAAATTTTGTTAATTTAAAAGAGAAGCGTCTTTATGTTTCTATATTAGAATTTTGAGTAAACTTCGACTGGTTTTAATAAATGAAGAGTAAAATAGACTGTGTACCTAAAGAATCAAAATAATATATATTTTCAAATTTTGAGAGCCTTTGAAAGTAAAAAAAGAGTTAGCTTTATTTAGATATTTTTTAGCATTATGATAGTAACGATAAAACGATAATAAATTCAATAACTGTTTCAGTAAAGATTTTTCTCTCAATATTTTGAAAAGTTATACAAAAGAGCACGATATTAAAACGGCTCCTATATTGTAAAATTTTTCTATAAAATATTAGCGAAATATATAAATTTTAAAAAATTAAAATATATTTCAATTATCAAATTTTGATAACTTCCAAAATATAGAATAAATAATTTCTCAATTTTATATTTTGTTATATTTGCAAGACGATCACTTCCCAAAAAAATTATCACTCACAGTCACTTTAACCAATAAATTCAAACTCTTATTGATCCTTTTCCTCTAACCTAATAAACTCAATATTCGTCAATAAAATTTTAAGATAAATCTATTGCTTTTACGAGGATTATAAAATAAATATTTAAAATTTTTATAAATTATATGCATTCCGAGCATAAATACTATTGATAATGTTTTTTTTAAGAAAATTATTTTCTTTAGTAAAAAATATATCGGTTTCTTCTTTTCAATGTATTATTAAATATTTTTATTTAAAAAATTAATCATCTCCAAATGCTTGTCATTTCCAAAATAATTTTCAATTATGAATTCAAATCACTTTTGATACAAATACGTTCAGCTCACAACTTTTGTGAAGTTTATTTTTTGTTTTGATTTCTGCGATACGTTGGAATGACCTTCTTTGGCTCAATTTAAATATTCATTTTAAAGATTGAATCAATGAATATTCAGCATCTAATTGGCTATCCAAGAGATCCTTCACTAGAAAAAAATTAATTATTCTACAAAATATAAATTAAACTTTAAATCCGATTAGAAAATATTATTCCCTTCTCTACAATTATAAATTCACTTAATATTTAAATCAAACTTTCGATATTTCTTTTTTCCTAATAAAAATAATTGATAAAAAGCAAAAGCCGGCCATAATTACAAAAAATACTCATTCTATAATTGTATTATTTCTTTTAATTCAAATTATGATAATTCGAGTTCAAATATAAAAATATGAAATCATTATAAACTACTTACGCCAAATTTCAAATTATTTTGTCATATACATTTAATAATTTCCTAATTTATAGTTATTAGAAAAAAATAAAATAAAATAAAATCGCAAAAATTTTTAGGGAAGACAGAAAGTATTTTTAATCCAACAATTGAATTTATTATGTTTTAAATCAGAAAAATGATATTTCTTAAATTTTAAAAAGTATTATTTGAAATTGAACATTTTATCTTAATTTAAAGTGCATTTATCATTTTTAAAATCATTTTTAAATTATTCCTTAGCATGATTTTGGAATTAAACCCTACAATCTCCAATTTTTTTTCATCAAATTTAAAGAATAGTTGCCATATTAATTTCTAAGATCACAGTAAGTGCTAATATTGTTATTGTGTTCACCTTTAGCTTCAGATTATTTGATTCTTTTCAATTTGTTATATTATTATGATTAGTATTACATCATGATGATCGTAAATTTTCTCGAACAATAAATAAATTTAGCCGGACAAAATGGTTTGTGATATAAAGAAAAATTGAAAACTTCGAAGTATTTTTGACAGCGATCGTTTTCTTTATACTCAGAAAATTGATAATGGCCTTTTGAGTTGTAATTTAATGCTCCTATGTTATTTCATCAATTTTTCTTTAAATACTCATATATCTCCAATTTATGAATCATCTCAAAAATTTCAAAGTCATTTTTTCAACGTTGGAGAAAGATATGGCTGCTTTCTATCTCTCAGCCGAGATGTCGACAATCAAGGAAATTCTCCTAATGCTAATATCAATTAATTATGTAGACCTCCCAATCATAGCCATCCTTGCCTTTCACGTTTTTTATTCATATTTCATCATTTCTAACAGAGGCAACTTGATTTTAACAACAATTTCGTTCATTGTATCAGTTACTTGCTTATCCCTTTCAAGCGTTATAGAAGTATATCTTTCAGCAAATTGGGAGCGTTTTTACTTCTCAGACGATTATTTCAGTAGATTTGAGTACTTTATTCTGATTTTCTGGATCATTCCTTTTATTATTAGCATAATTTTTATCCTGATTTCTTTAATTATTGATTCCATGCAATCAATTGTGGTCCAATTTCAGTTCAAGAAAATGCTAGAAACAAAACCTGATCAAACAGCAAGCAAAAAATGAGCCCACATCATTACTTTTTCGGAATATTTTTTCTAACTATTTGCCTATATTAGATTATACTACTGTATAGCACATAATTCTAGTATATATTTATTGTATTACTATCAGTCTTCAAGTTCTTACATAACCTTTTGATGATTTGAAAAAATATCACTATTTAATGCTTCCTTATTAGTAACTCATTGTATTTAAAATAAAATCTTTCTTTTCTATCATTTTGTGTTAGTAATATTAATATCTGATTCAAAATTGAATTTGAAATTATTAAATAATATCTTTAAATTCCTCACTAAGGCAACAAAATATTGATGTAGTGTTTGTAATTTTACTTCACGAACATTACAGGTATCATAGTCAAAACAATTTAATAGCTTCAATTTTAAGATCAAAATATCTATATTTTCAATTTACCATAGTACTAAAAATTTATTTTGATAATCAGACGTGAAGAGATTACTTTCATTATTTATGAAAAGATTTATCGTGAATTTCAAAATATTTGATTTTAACTTCAAATTAATTAATATACCATCATAAATGTCGATAATGAGGAATATATTACACAAATCAAATACAATCGATTGTTTGATCATTCCAAATTAAAAAATATTATTTTATATAATAAAAAATTAGTTTTTAGAGATACATTGAATCATTATTTTGGAAATCATTACTCTGCTGACCTTGATTTGTCTGTTGCATCTGTCCTTGGCCAAATCCAAAAGTATTCATCTGATTTCCATTAAATCCAAAGTTAGTCTGGTTTTGGGAAAAACCTTAATTTTGTCCAAATCCAAATTGATTCTGTTGGAAGCCAAATTGAGAATTAACATTCATCTGTGGAGCAAAATTCATTTGATTCTGTCCAAATCCAAACTGTTGATTAAATTGGTTTGCATTTTGTGGAGCAAAACCAAATTGAAGTTGCTGAGTTGCAGTCATTTGTTGCTGATTCATGTTTGCTGATGGACGCGAAAATCCAAGCTGAATTTCTGCTTGTTGCTGATACTGGTTCGGTTCAAATGAAGACTGGGTTGTTTGGAAATTATTTTGCTGTGTTGCAGAAAAACCAAACTGAGGATACAATGGGTTGCTGTTTTGTGGCGATGATTGATTGGAACTTGAAGAGGAAGATTGATGATCAATTGACTGGGAAATGTTTAGCTGTGGCATTGGCTGATTGCTGCTTTGTGGCGATGAACTGTTTGAAGAATTCTGCGAAAATTGCGGTTGAGGAACAAAACCAAATTGATTCATTTGATTCATCAGATTCTGGTTTATCTGATTCATTGGATTCATCTGGCTTTGATTTATCTGGTTTTGGTTTATTTGGTTCTGATTCATTTGGTTCATCGGATTCATTTGGTTTTGATTCATTTGTTTGATTTATCTGGTTTTGGTTTATTTGGTTCTGATTCATTTGGTTCATCGGATTCATTTGGTTTTGATTCATTTGGTTTTGATTTATCTGGTTTTGGTTTATTTGGTTCTGATTCATTTGGTTCATCGGATTCATTTGGTTTTGATTCATTTGGTTTTGATTTATCTGGTTTTGGTTTATTTGGTTCTGATTCATTTGGTTCTGATTCATTTGGTTTTGATTCATCTGGTTCTGATTCATTTGGTTTTGATTTATCTGGTTTTGGTTTATTTGGTTCTGGTTCATCGGATTCATTGGATTCATTTGGTTTTGATTCATTTGGCTCTGATTTAACTGATTCATTTGGTTCTGGTTCATCGGATTCATTTGGTTCTGGTCCATTGGATTCATTGGATTCATCTGGCTTTGATTTATCTGGTTTTGGTTTATTTGGTTCTGATTCATTTGGTTCATTGGATACATTTGGTTTTGGTTCGTTTGAGTCATTTGGTTTTGATTCATCTGGTTCTGATTCATTTGGTTCTGGTTCATCGGATACATTTGGTTTTGGTTCGTTTGAGTCATTTGGTTTTGATTCATTTGGTTCTGGTTCATTGGATTCAGCGGATTCATTTGGTTTTGATTCATTTGGCTCTGATTTAACTGATTCATTTGGTTCTGATTCATCGGATTCATTTGGTTCTGGTTCATCGGATTCATTGGATTCATTTGGTTTTGATTCATCTGGTTCTGATTCATTTGGTTTTGATTCATCTGGTTTTGATTCATTTGGTTCATTGGATTCATTGGATTCATTTGGTTTTGATTCATTTGGCTCTGATTTAACTGATTCATTTGGTTCTGGTTCATCGGATTCATTTGGTTCTGGTTCATCGGATTCATTTGGTTCTGGTTCATCGGATTCATTTGGTTCTGGTTCATCGGATTCATTTGGTTCTGGTTCATCGGATTCATTTGGTTCTGGTTCATCGGATTCATTTGGTTCTGGTTCATCGGATTCATTTGGTTCTGGTTCATCGGATTCATTTGGTTCATTTGGTTCATCGGATTCATTTGGTTCTGGTTCATCGGATTCATTTGGTTCATTTGGTTCATCGGATTCATTTGGTTCATTTGGTTCATTGGATTCATTTGGTTCAATAGTGACATCATTTGATTAATCTGTGACATTTGATTTTGGTTCATTGGATTCGATTGGTTCATTTGGTTCATTGGATTCATCTGGTTCATTTGGTTCATTGGATTCATCATTGGATTTTGAGTGTTCATCATTTGGTTCATTAATTGATTCATCATCTGCATATTAGAATTCTGATTTTGAATCATTGGATTTGGATTCATCATTTGCTGATTCTGTAATTGATTTTGAACATTCATATTCAACTGTAGATCCGATTTTTGTCCAAAAAATTGATTTGAATTCATCATTTGGTTTGATGAATTAACATCATTCATTTGTTGGTTCACCATTTGATTTGGAACATTAGTTTTTTGAGTTGAATTTTGATTAATAGATTCTTGTTGTTTTTGATTTAATTCAACAGAAAATTGTTGATTATGAGTTAAATTAGTCGTGTTTTGTTGGTTTTGATTTAATTCAACAGAAAATTGTTGATTTTCAGCTTTGTTTTGTTGAGAAGGAATTGGATCTTGAACTTCATAATTTTTGATTTCTTGTGTTTTTTCGTTTGGAATTTCAGAAAATGAAACATCTTCTTTCTCTTCTTTTTCATCTCCGAAAACAGCCGAAGGCAAAACAATCGAATTCTGGTATTTTTCTTGATCATCTCCAACTTGTAATGTCATGAACTCAAAGCAGCGAATGAATTCATTTGCAATATCAGTTTTGATCATCTTTGAGAGTTGATAAAGTTCATACAAGAATGAATAAATATGGAACGCATTATTAGGCAATTTGTCATATTCAGACAAGTGTTTTCTAACAACAAATGGATATTTCTTGCACAAAATTATTGATTTCCAATAAAAATTGTCATCCAAATCATTTATCTGAGGAATAGTTAGCGATTCAAGATCTTCAAATACATAATCAACTTCTCCAATATCCAATTTAATTTCGGGTTCTTCTTTGACTTGAATATCGTTATAAGATAAAAGTGACACACTTTCTTTTGTAAATTGAATTACTTCGTTTGAATCTTCATTTTCAATTTCTTGGAAGTCAATTTTATTCATTTCATTTTGTTTTTGTTCTATCATGTTATTCCATTGTTTAACTTCCCATGGATTAAACTCATGTTTCGTTGTCATTGACTTTTGTGCTGCAAAAATTTCATCAAGTTTTATTGGCAATCTTAATTGATATCTGTTTTGTCTGAAAAACTTCAATCTGTCAGCGAAAATAATGTTCATGTATTTGATCAATCCTTTGCCATCACCAACTTTCTTTATCTCTGAATATTTTGTATTCATCTTTTTACTGAAATGAGAATCATCAGGATTAACCTTCAAAAATTTGTAAAGTTCATCAGAAATCCGAACAAAGTCTTTGAATTTCATATCTTTGAAAATTTCATTCAAATAATCCAAATTATCAGAAATTGGAGCCCATGTTTTGACCCAAACTGTATCAGGTTCATTTGGATGATAAGGTTCATCACATAATCTCACAGCAACTCGCTTCATTCTGCTTGGATCATATTCATTTTCCATGACAATTTGATATGAATTTCCATAAACAACAAAATAACAATAATTTGTCACGTTTTCAGGGAAACACGAATCCTTTGAAAAATCAACATTTGTTTCAATGTTGTATTCTGTATTAAATGCTCTCCAATAATAACCATTGAGCGTGCAAACAACAAATTTATAGGTTGGTTTTGGAACTGGTTCATTTGTTTTTATTGGCAACCATTTTTTGCTGACTTCATCGTAATAAACAAAAGGATAATCATCTAATTCAGAATACTCTGCTTCGATGCAAACATCATCTCCTTCATCAATGATATTCAAAGGGAAAGGAATAACAGATATCGGTATTTCCTTGACAAACTCCTTTTTATCGGTAGAAATGATAATTTTCAATTGACTTTCTTCATCACAATGTCTTGAAAAACTTAAATCAAACAACAAAATGTGGTCATCGGAATATTTCATGTCTTTGATTTGTAAATCATCATTTGGATCAAGTTGTACTGTCAATTTATCTTTGGAGCTCTTAAGAGGAGTATTTATATAGAAATAGTATCTGAATCCAAGAGTTCCTGCATATAAATATTCCGGCATTTCTTCGAATTTTCCTGCCATTCTGTTGAAATATTTTGTAATAAACGGTCTGTCAAATTTCTCAAAACGAGTGAAAATAAGACAAGAAAGATCTTTCGAGACTAAAACATTCATGTAATAATCTGGATCCGTATCTGGCAAAATTGCTGTCACTTTTTCATCATTGTCAAATTCTGTTGACGGTTTATTATCGGTGAAGAACTGAAGTTTATGGTCAATTGGTGATAAATCAGTTCCGAACGTCCTGACAGTCAAAGGATTGTCTTCTGCCAAAAATTTCGGATTGTAACACATTACATTATTTTCTTTGTTGTAATAAAAAGTGAAACCTTTTGAATAGATGTAAACTTGGCTTTCAATTTTTCCCAAATTCAAATTGAAAGGATATTGGATATCATTAACAAACAAATCGAAATTCACTTGGTTATAACCTAATCCCATTTCTTTTACAGGGATCTGAAGTTTGATCATATTTTCTGACATAAAACCTTTGACATTATCTTGTTCTGATTTTATTTTAATTTTTGGATTATTTAGATTTGTTCTTATCAAGATTTCCAGCGGCTTCTCTTGTATTGTAATGATATTTGGAATTGTCAAATCAATCTTCGAAAAATTACTTAGAATTCTTCCTTCAAGTTCATCAATAAAAAGTGACATTTCTGATAAATCAAGAATTTCAAATTGTTCATTTTGTTTTGAAACACTCGATTTGAAATCATTAATTGCTCTGTATTTATCAACATCTACTTTAACAGTTTTCATTATATCAAGATATTCAAGACATTTGACAAAAAGCGGTTGTGAGCTGTCACTTTTTGAAATTTTTGATTTGATCAAATTTTCAAAGTTTTGATTTTGAGAATTTTGATTCAAAGCCAAAATTTGTTTTTGTATTTTCTGGAGATTTTGCAAGTCCAATTTTTTACTTGCATTAATTATTGGCAATTTCAAAGTTATGTAATCAGGATTTCCATTTTCAAACAAGAAATCATCTTTTGAATATTTGTTATCGAAACAAAACATGAAAATTTTTCCTTTCGAATATCTCCAAAACTTATTATTAACTTTGTTTGAAACTCTCAAGTTATACTGCTCCAAATAAACTAGTTCATAAGTCTTCAAATTATTTGTATTAAATGTCAAAAAGTCTTTGACACTTTTTATGATATTATAAACTGGTTCTTTTTCATATTCTATTATATTACCTGCATTTTTACACATCGGCGGCAACAAATTCTCCAAGAAAGGAGTCAATAACTCATTAAATCTAAGAGATAAATCCAAAATTTTCTGGGATTTTTCTGCATTGTTTTCTTCACTCAATAAATCATTGACTTTTGAAATTGTTTCTGAACTTTCTTGCTCCAAAAACTTGTAAAAATCTTCAACAATTAAATGATTTTTGTCAAAGAAATTTGGCAAGTTCCAAGCAACGAAATCATCAAAATATTTGTAATATTTTTGGACAAAATTCGTCTCAGAAATGAAATACATCTTTTCCATGAAAACATTGAGATCTGTAATGTTGTTATCACTGATAAATTCCAAGATTTCGTCATAATGATTCTCCATAAAAGTGAATTTATAAACGGTTTGACAGATATCGTTCATTTTCTTATTTACGTTGTAAGAATTGGCAACTAAATAAATCAGATGAGAAATAGGTATCGTGCTGCACTTACTTGAAAACATTTTCCTGATCTCATAAAATTTCAAACCGCAATCTGTCAATTTTTTGAACATTTCACTTCCTTCGAAAACATTTTTGTAATTTACACTTAAGTTCTGTGTGTTTTCGAATGTTTCTCTGAGTTCTCTGTAAATCTTCAGTTTGTTTTCGTTGACGGTTTCCCTCTCAATTTTTGAATAGACGTCTTTCAAATTATTTTTATTCATTTTTGAGATTGAAGGAAAGAGATCAGTCAATTTACTCAAGAAGACGGATTTCGTGACTCTCGGTATTACTAGGTTCATGTCTTCTGGATAATCATCAAGAATTTCTTGAAGAGTTTCAATTTCTTGAAAAGTGAAGTTCCTTTTCTTCAAAAAATTTTTTTCGAAAATTTTTTGATTGAAAATTGATAAATTATCCCAAAACTTTTGTAACTCTTGCTGATTTAGTTCCTTATCAACGTCTTTCGGACTCTTGTTCAAATATAATTCATTAAATTTGTTTTTGCAATACAAATTTGAATCATAATTCTGAATTAGATACTTTTTGTAAGAATACTCAGCAATTTCCGGTAACCATGACTGTAAATCATTAGTTTCTCTTGCTTTATACCATTTAATCGATGATTTCAGATCGAATTTAATTGAATTTGGTTTAAATTGCAAATATAAATGATTGTTATGCAACAAAACCTCTTCAACACCAGCTTTATAGCCATTTACGTCACGATTCTCCCTCATTTGGCTTCCCAAAATGTTAATTGTTCGATTAATTTTATCATTTTCACAATTTGGAAAATCTAAGTTGGTAAACACTTTCCAAGTGATAATATCCAAGTCATTGTATAGCATTACGTCATTCGTATTGTCGATTTCGGTCTCAAATTCGACATTAAAAGTCGAATACAATTTTTCGACAAAATCATTATCGTCAGTCAGATTTGACACGTGTATATCGTTGATCATGAACTCAACAATTTGTCCATTTTGAGTAAAAATTCGTAATTCATCTCTATTTTGTTTTGTGTTTGTGTTTTTTGCCTCAGCTAAAGATACCTTGCATCTTTTCTTCGTAATCTTCATCATTAACTGACAGAACATGTAAATCAATGTATTTTCCCGGAATAAATTTAATTCAAACCATTTGTTGTGTAATGCAGTCGAAACATACTCAAGGAACGTGTTGCATTGAGAAAAGTAGTATGCTGGCTCCATCAATGTATAAGGAAGGATTATTGATTTGAAATCTTTGAATGTAATGAAACGAAGATCACGTATCACTTGAAACTCGTCTGGATTCAACGTAACTTCTGTAGATTTGAAAAAATTATAAATGAAAATCCCTTGTTGATTATTTTTAATCGAATTAGTGTCTAATTTGCCTTCTATTGTCTTCAGATGTCTTTTAATAAGGTCTTTTTTCTTAGATCCATCTTTGGTTGATCTCGCAAGAAAAGATATTGCTTCTTCCATGCAAAATTTTTTTTTGATAAGACACCCTCTCAAAATAATTTTAATGCTGAAATTCGATTTGACAAGACATGACACAATAAATTTTCTAATAATTTGTTTTGGTTGGCAAGTTTTTCCATATTGCATAATAATAATTCTGCCAGACATGGAACTTATCATGTTTATCAACTAAATAGATGGTGTATATTCATCGTGACGCGTATGAATGATTAATTGAATAAGACGTGAAAAATAATAGATATTTCAAATATTGAAGCCCAAGCCTTATGACACGTGGAAAATTTTGATGGAATAGGAAAATTTCTATATTAATTCAATTTTAAAGAAGATATATTTGAATTAAACAATATGTGTATTTTAATTACTTGAAACATCACATTCTTTATTTACGAATATTTGAAGCCTGTTTGAACTTCCAATTGAAAATATTAAATTTTCAAAATTATTTATTTAATTTTAATCAATTTTCATAATTTGTTTAATCAATTTTTATTGAAAAGTATCGTTGATTGCGAAATTTTAATATTTTATAAAATCAAATAAAATAGTGATGCGAAAAATTCCCAAACATATGGGGTTTCTCATATCCTGTCCCCTATCGTTTCCCCAATTCAATTTTTTTTTTGGAATTTTATTTTTTTTCCCGCCCATTTGAATTAAAAATGGGCGATTTTCGTTAATGTGATTGAAATATCATAAAATTAATACGTATTTTAGCTAATAATTCTATTTTTATACAATATTCTCTCATTAAATCAACATTTTTTTCTAATTTTAATTTTTAATTTTTAATTTCTTCATAATTTTAGCGATTTATGCTCATTATTAGCAAATAAATAATATATATAATATACTTATTTCATTTTATTCAGATAGGTCTTTGGGATTGGGATACCTTGTCCAAATTCAGAGGAAGTTTGAGAGGTTGGGATGGGGTAGCCCATATTCAATTATCCCAAGTGTACTCCACGAATTTAAAATTATATTATATTATTGATGACATATCTAAATTTATAGATAAAAATTTCAATGCGTACACAATTTTTTTTTAGAAAATTCTTTTTTTTTACTTATTTTCATTCATAAAAGCTCACGTGAACTTAATTAACAACTGAGACATTTCCTATGAAATCATTTAATGCCGTCAAAATAGACATGTCTAAGCTGTTTTGAGTGACTTTCGCTCGATGTCTGATGCAATATCAGACATCGAGCGAAAGTCTCTCATATTGGCAACACATCCATACGATCAATACTATAGCTACGAATTACAAGCCTGTTTGGGCAATTTTTGGCCGAGTTCTGATTTTTCATTAGATCTCGAGCGAAAGTCACTCAATTTGGCTGCCAGTTCATAAGAGTGAAACTCTAGCTACGAATTAGAAGCTTGCTTGAGAGACTCTCGCTCGCGTTGGGATCTGCATCAGAACTCGAGCGAAAGCCTCTCAAAGTGGTAAGACCTGTTCATTGTTGAGCAGGAGCTGCGTAATGTGTTCGAGTAGAGTGAGGCTCTTCTAAGATCTTCCTTGTGATTGGAAGAAATTAGAAGAGTCTCACTCTACTATTTTGTAATTGTATGCCCTGGCCTTTGAGTGACCAGGGCTGCGTAATGAATTCGAGTAGGATTGTACAATAGCTCGGCAAACGCCGAGCAAATTGATATAAACGTACATCCCACAAAAAATGGATTGTCAAAATTTATCCCAAATTTTACAAAACCGCAGCGGTTATGACATCCCAGGGCTAAAAAAATTCGGAAACTCGCATCTCTAAATAAAAGAAATATTTTTATTTGAAAAGTATAAAAATGTTTTTTATACCCAGTAATTCATTTTTTATTATTAGATATACATTTAAAATTTCGAATATCAAAAATTAATGGAGTGGGCGTCAATATAACACAAGCTGAATATCAAGCTATTAGAAGCACTAATGTTGGCAATATATTTTTCCAAACATCTAGATTTCAAATTATTGGCTGAATATCTGCATTTCAACTTTGGATATTTTATTTTCCACCTTTTATTTTTATAAATTGACAATCTTTTTAGTAAATCTTTTTTAATGAAGTGAAATCAATAATGTCAAAACTTTAATCAAAGTGAATAAAATGGTTTCATCTGGATTTTAAAGTTCATGAGCAGCTTTGGATCAAATTTATTATTCATTTTCTCATGAGTGAAAGAGATCAATGTGTAACGATGGCTCAAATTCTTGGCCAAACACCAAGCAAGGCCAAAGAAATGGTTAATTATATGAAACGTGCAGTAGAGTTAAATCCAATTTTGGATACTTCCGAGAGAACTTTGTTATCAGTTGGATATAAAAATTTAATTACTTCACGCCGTCAAGGAATAAGACATTTAATGCAGCAAGAAGATGAAATGGAGGGATTAACAGTTCCTTGCAAAGAGAGAATCCAAAAAATCAAAGAAGAGCTTATTAACGAATTAGTTGGATTTTGCACTGAATTAATAAATCTCGTTGATGAAGTTATTTTACCAAAAGTCGAAGACCCTGAGTCTGTTGTTTTTTATCAGAAGCTCAAGGCTGACTTTTATCGTTACATATGCGAAGCTCAAACAGGACATGACCTTGAATTATCATTAGAAAATGCTACAAAGTCTTACAAAAAGGCTCTTGAAGTTTCCAAACAGAATCTTCAATCATATTCACCAACTTCTTTAGGTTTAATACTCAATTACACTGTATTTTTATTCGAAAACGCTAAAAAACAAACAGATGCAGTTAGAATTGCACAAGAAACATACCAAACATATGCTCCAATTATTGAGCAAAATTCCGAAAAATCAAGAGAGGAAGCTGCCCAAATTATTAAACTTCTCGACGAAAACATAAAACTATGGGAGTCTTCTCTTGAGGAAACCGACTCAGAACCAGTTAATGAATAAATAAAAATTAATTTTCGGCTTTTTTTTTCAAATTTTTACCATTGTTAGCTGAAAAATTTCAGGAACACTAATATCTGTTTTATATATAAACATTAGTAAATTTTGATTCTAATGCAAAATGATATTATGAAAGTTAATGAAACGATAGATCAGATTGCTAATATGAGCTTTCGGAAAGTGTTTGGTCAATATGAATTATTCCTAGATTGATTTGGTTTCGATATTTCTAATTCATTTACCTGTATATGTTGGAGATATAAAATACAAAAAAAAAGTAATGAATAAAGATATCTTTCTTTAATTTATTAGTTTCCAAGAAGATAAGAAGTAAGATAAGGAATAATATCAAAGACATTTCCAAAATTAGGATTGTCATCAAAGTTAGATGGAAGATATTGAAGACTGATGTTTGTTGTGAATGAATATGGATTTGATCTTTCGTCAAAGTTGTTAATTGAGTTAAGAGAGAATTGATGTTGACCATAGGAAAGAGGTGATAATGGAATGAGAAGATTGAATGTTTCATAACATTCTCCTTTGATATCAATTGTTGTATTTTGGTTAGTATTGTTGTTTGTATGATCAATATAACATGAAACAGTAACTTCACCTGAAAGATGAAGAAATTTGTCGGTATCTTTATAATATAATGATTTGACTTCTTTTGTTAATTTTAATATTGGTTTATTATATGCATAATTGAAGATATACAATTCTTCTAATGATTCTTTCCCTCCTGCCTCTCGTGCTAATATCTTTAATTTGTAAATATTTTGTGATAAGTTTCGGGGAATATTAAAATTTAAAGAAAAGGTTTGACTGATTTCACTATTCATAGCTTGATTAAATGTTATATTAAAATATGTATTTGCTATCCAATATTCTATTTTTAATGATTCAACTTTGTTATAATCTGTGACTTTCATGTTGATGTTTAAACTATCATTGATGTCGCGAATGTAAATAGGTGGGTTAGATATATCATAATGATCAACAAATTCAAGTTCTGGGGTGTTGTAATTGAATGTAAATTGATATGTTAGTTCTTGATATTTATTGTATGAATCAATGGATCGGATGGTTAATGAATGTGAGCCTTCGGAAAGTGTTTGATCAATAGGGATATCATAACTGAATATTTCGGTTTGACTATCATGTTCGATGTTTATTCTTTTAAATGTTGCGAATTCTTCTTGTGTATCATATTTGTATTGTAATCTGACTTCACCAAGATTACTATCTTGAAATATTCAACAAGATTTATATCAATTGCTTTCAAATTGAGTGTGAAACTACTATTAATTCCTTTCATGTAAATTGGATGATCATCTTGATCATATTATTGGTTGATTTGAATTTCTGTTTGATTGTATTTAAAATCAAATTGATAATTCCTAAATAAAAATGTCATTCCAGAACTATCTTCAAGAAAGATGAAAAGAGTGTGATCCTTTTCTGCTAAAGAAGGAAGTGGAATGTCATTTTTATAATTGATAATACTTGTATTTCTGATTTTAATTGTTTGTATTGTTATTATTTCAGAATTATCAAATTGATACTTTATATCAAGGTTGACATTTCCATTGTAATCAACAAATGATAAATTAATTGGAATTTGTGTATTGACTTTATTTACATAAATATTAGATTCTCTCATTACACTAAATTCCACAATCTCTGGTTTCGATAATATTATTTTAAAACTAAATACTTTTAAATCAAATTTATTGTATGAATCAATTGCTCTGATTGTGATTATATGATCCCCTTTAGAAAGACTTTGTTTAATAGGAATATAGTTACTAAAGAACTTTGATTCATCAATATCGACTATATTTATGGAATTGAATTGTATGAAATCATTATCATTATTATATTTATATTCTAATGAAACAACACCAAAATTTGTGTCTTCTATGTTTCCTGTGATATAAATGCTTTGATCTTTGTTCAAAGCATATGATGAAAGAGGTTCTGTACTGATTTCTATAATAGGAGATGAAAGTTGAATGATAAATTGACTTGTGATTTCATCAGATTCAACATATTTTGAATTTCTTGATTTGATCTTCATTGTATATTGAGTTTCATATGTTAATTTGGAAATATTAATTGGTATTGATTTAGAAATATCAGATGCTGAGTCAATATTAAATGAAGAGCTTTGTTCTTCAGAAACAAAGTTGCTATTTTCATATATAGATGTAATGAATTTAAATGTTTCACTTCCTCTTTGATCATGATAAATCAGACTGATATTTATTGTTTTGTCAACATTAAATGTTAGTGGTGTTTTGATTTCTCCATTAAATCTGATTTCTGGTTTGTAAATATACTTGAAATAATATTGCTGATGTGTAGATTCTTGTGTAGTATCATCAATTAGATAAAATGATATTGAATGAACTATATCATCTGATGGACTAAGAGAACTTATAGATATACTATTTGATTTTAGATGCCAATTTGTGTCTATGATTGTATAGATATTATCCAATTTTGTTACAGCGCCGTTATCCATAGAATAAGCAAATGATAATCTTCCATTTGTATCACGAATACTATAAGATAATGTGATTGAATTAGTAATTCCAGCATAATATATGTCTGGATTAGATGATGTTAATGAAGTTGAAAATAGAATTTCAGGAATTGAATTTTCAACAATGTTAAATGAAATGCTACTCGTTGAAGTTTTTCCTGTTGTTGTGTATGTTTTGAGGTAAATGTAATGTTGTCCAATATTTAGATTTGGAAGAGCAATTGAAAAGGATTTTGTTTCAGTATCAGTTGTTAAAGAAACTGTTTTTGTATTTGTGTAGTTTGAAGAATTAAAGCTGTATGAAAAATTAAATGGCTTGTTCGCCCAATAAGAAAATGTCACATCAAAGTCAATTTGGCTATCAAAAGATGGTTTATACGTAGTTCTTATCATATTTACTGATTTGATTACTGCACTCTGATAAGGTAAAACTTTAATACGTAACCCATATATTGTTCCATAAGATCCATCTCTAATACCTCTGAAATATATCTTATATATTCCAACAGCATAATTAGAAACAGGAATGTCTACAGAAAATGGATTAGTGTTTCGGAATGTTGAATCAAAGAAATAAGTTGCATCAGCTGGCTGCGTTCCTTCCGAGTATTTCTTCATATAGTAAGCAATAGTATTATATGAATATTGTCCATTATCAATCAAACCAGTAACTGTTATTGATTGCGTATCAACTTCAAAAGTTGTAATATTTTGATTAAATGTTATATGTGGGTAATAATAATGATCTATAATTCTAGGTTCAATAACAAAATAAAATTCATATATCGTTCCATATCCACCATCTCTCACTCCTTTGAAATATAGAGTATACGAATCATCTACATAATCTTCTACAGTAATATTCACAGAAAATGGTACAACACCTTTAAATGTTTATCAAAGAAATAAACTGAATCTGATGGTGGACTTAAAGAATGTACTCTTGAATAATATGCTTCAGTAGGATGTGAATATTGTCCGTTATCAATTGTTCCATTGATTGTTAATGTCTTTGTTCCCTCGACTAAAGAAATATAATTTTGGTCGAATCTAATATAAGGATAATACTCGGCCAATAGTCTCCGTTTTGAATTTAATGGATTATCATTATAATGGTTTGATATTGGAATTATTGAAATTGGAGTTATTGTATGTGAATTGATGTCAATGATTCGATAGAAAATGTTTTGATGTTTCAAACTCTGAATTTTGTTTGGGATTTCTAAAATAAATGTGTTAGAATTATTAAGATGAATTTCTTTGAGATAAAATGAATTGTATTCTGAATATAAACTAGAAATAGAATATTCAATATAAAAATGTTGATCAATGTTTTGAATTTGATTAATATCTTCATTATTGTTGTTAATTTCGAGTATCATGTGATCGTTTGATATTGTATTATTGAGTTGATAACCGGTGAATACTTGAATTGCGTATTTTGGTTCTTGTTCTTTCTTCAAAAATTTTAAAAGTTTAAAAAGTAGTATTTCTGATGTATTATGGCATTCAATTGTTTTAACATGCTGTGTTATAACAATTTGGTTGTAATTATATGTGATATATGCATTGGCTGCCTCAACCAAAAAGAAATACGTTTCGAGTTTGTTAGATATACTGAAATATTCTTCGTTGTGGGTTGTATCATGAATATTTGGGTCGATACTGAGTGTGAGTTCAAAGGAAATATCGTGTTTTGTTTCATCATTGTTCTGAAGTATGACAAAAATTGAATCATTTCGATAAACACTGCTAATGTTGAGATAAGTACCATGTATGCGTTTGAATATGTCCGATTCAAAATCATAGATGAGTGAATCAACTTGAAATTTTCCACTAACTTCGACATTTTCTAAGCTTTGGAAAATGACGTCCTTGAGACACAATAGTAGCATGTTCATTGAGCCTTTTTAATCTTTGATTCCTGTAAATTCAACTACAACTGTGAAAAACTGTTGAATCAGAATTTTTTTTTCCGAAATTTTATCGGATAAATATGAAATCATTATTTATAGCACAATTTAAAGTATATTTATTTTAAATGGCCGAGAATTTCAATGAGATGCCTCGAAATTCGAATTATTGCATTGAAAATTTTTGGATGTGAGAAATATTTTATTTCATTCCAATATTGTGTATTTATTTTTAAATTCTTTCTAAAGATTGAAAGCTTTACAAAATACTTGAAACTATTTTTAAACTAGTCTACTAAATAGAATGCTTTTATGCTGGTAATGTAGCCATTACCCAGCAATTCATCACCATATTCGGACATCTCATTTTACACTAATGGTGGTTCATTTACCTTTTGAGAAAGAATTAAAGCATTAAGAAATTAATATAATAAAATGTTTATTCATTTTCTAGTTAAAGAAGCAATAGTTGCTAATATTGAAAATTTGGTTCGAACTTTGTACTTCTTAACTTCCTCAATGTTTGATGGAAGATATTGAAAAGAGATATTTGCAGTGAATAAAAATGGATATGATTCTTCATTTTCATTGTTAATTGAGCTAAGAGAAAATTGATGTTGGCCATCAGAAACATGTGATAATGGGATTCGAAGATAAAAACTTTTATAACATTCTGGTTTGATGTCAACAATTGTATTAGTTTTTCTATTAACATTATTATTTGTATCATAAACATTACATGAAACAATCACACTTCCATTACATCTTATATCATGAACTTCGCCTGAAATATGTACATATTTATCTGTATCTCTATAATATAATTTTTTGATTTGATTCATTATTTTCAGTACTGGTCTGTTGTATGTAAAATTGAATGGATATGACTTTACAACTGATGTTTTACCATTAATTTCTGTTGCCAAAATCTTAAGGTAGTAAACATTTTCAGATAATGCTGTAGGAATATCAAAAATTAATGGAAACACTTTACTGATTTCGCCTTTCATTTGAATATTGAATGGTGTTCCATAGTAATCTGTATTAGTTATTGAAAAATCGATCTTTAATGATTCAACCTTGTTATAGTCTGTCGCCTTTATATTGATACTTAAAGTACCATTAATTCCTTTAATATATAGTGGTGGATTGGATGGATCATAACTGTCAATGATTTCAAGTTCAGGAACGTTATATTTAAAAGTGAATTGATATGGTGAAAGTTCATGGTATTTATTGTATGAATCAATGGCTCTGATTGTTAATGAATGTGAACCTTCGGAAAGTGTTTGATCAATAGGAACGTTTTCTGTAAATGATTTAGTTTCGGTAACACTTCCGATGTTTAATAAATGAAATTCTTGAAATTCATTATTATTATCATATTTGTATTGCAATCTTACTTCACCAAGATTACTATCTTTGACATTGCCTGAAATAGATATAAATTGGTCTTTGGTTTTAGTGTATGATAAAAGTGGTGTTGTTGTGATTGTTAAAACTGGAGATGAAAGATGAATAATAAATTGATGAATGATATAATTTGTTTCTTCAGAATTTGAATTAATTCCTTTGATTTCAATTTTATATTGTTTTTCATATGTTAATCTATTAATATTAACTGCGATTGTTGTTGATTTTTCAGTGGATGAATCAATATCAATTGGTAAATTATTTTGTGAAACAATATTATTGTTATTATTAATGTCATAAATATTGGTGTAAATAGTCAATCGACCATTTCCTCTGGCATCGCGATAAATAAGTTTGATATCAATTGTTTGATCTACTTGATATGTAAGTGTTGTTTTCATTTCTTCTTGTAAACTGATAATAGGATTGTTCATATATTTGAAATAAAGAACTTGATGTGTTGATTGTTTTCCTAAGTTATCTTTAAGATAAAATGAAATAGAATGAACTGTTTCATCTGATGGAGAAATTAATGAATTTAAGATACTAAAAGATTTTCGATACCATGATGCATCATTGATATTATATGAATCATCTATTTTTGTAAATGCACCGTTATCAAGCGAATGATAAACTGAAAAACTTCCTTTTCCATCTTCATCTCGCATTTGATATTCAATTGAAATTTCATTTGTTATTCCTTTGTAATATAATATTGGATTAGATGATGTTGTTGTTGTCAAAATTTGTAGCTCAGGTGATGAACTATCAATGATTTTAAATGGAATTTGATCTTCTATTGTGTCTACTCTAAATTTAATATAATGATCTCCAATACTCAGGGTTGGAAGAGGAATAGAACACATCAATAGTGGTGGATTACTTGTTAATGAAATTGTTGTATTTGTACTTAATGAATCAATACCATATGAAAATGAAAATTCTTTGTTTATTTCAGATGAAATTGTAATTCCAAATATAATATACTCATCAATTCCAGATTTGTATTCTGCTTTTTTTGTAAATTTTTGAATAATTGTATATTTTATTACTGTAAAGCGGAATTCATAAATTGTTCCATGAACTCCATCTCTATCACCTCTAAAATAAAGCTTGTGAGTTCCAACTTCGTAACTGTTAACTGGAATATTTACAGAAAATGGATGAGTGTTTCTGAATGTTTCATCAAAGAATTTTGTTGCATATTGATAGTTATCAAGATCACCCGTTTCTGAACGTACTGTCATATAGTAAGCTTTTGTATTAAATTCAAAATCACCATTATCTATTGTTCCTGTTACTGTTATTGAAATAGTTCCTTCAAGGAACGAAATATTATTTTGATCGAATCTAATGTAAGGATAAACTTCTAACAATTTCCTTTGTAGTGAAACACTATTTTCATTGTTGTTGATAGGGATTACTGAGAATGGACTTGTTGTATTGTTTTCTATATCAAATAATCGTAAAAGAATGTTTTTATTGTTTCTCAGATTTATTCTGTTTGGTATTTCTAAAACAAATGTGTTAGATCTATTAAGAAATATCTCTTTGAAGTAGAATGAATTGTCTGATGAATATTGGGATGAAAATGAATATTCAATGAAAAAATGATTATTAGTGATGTTACTAGCTTCAAAATCTTTCTGAATGTACTCAAACTTGATTTCTATTTGATTAATCAATTTTGGATAGTTACTTTGCTTTGAAAATAACGGAATAAGAACATATTTTGGATATTTTTGGTAAGTAAAGCTTTTAAATAGTTTGAAAAGGAGAAATTTGTCATAACAATGAGGATTAATAATCCTTTTGGGTGTTTCTATCAAAATTTCATTATCATTAATTGTGAGATATGCGTTATTAGTGTCAATTTCAAAAATTTGGCTCTCATATACGTTATATATAGTAAAGTATTCGTCATTATGTGTAGTATTGCAAAGATTGGAGTCGATTTTGAGTTTAATTTCAACTGAGATTTCGTGTTTTGCTTTGTCAGTGTTCTTAAGACCGATTGTATATGAGTTGTTCTGATAATTATTGTCAATTCTGATATTATCGCCATGTATACGTGTGAATAAATCAGATTCAATATCATAAATGAGTGAATCAACTTGAATTTTTCCACTGACTTCGACATTTTCGAAGTTTTGGAGAGTAATATCTTTAAAACATAATAACAGCATTTAAACATTTCTTTTTCTGGTTATAAATTATTTCATTTTTGAAATTTAATAAAATAAGAGTCAAATAATTTAAAAGAAGCGTTATGATATAAAACAAATGGATATGATTTGAGCATAAATATCAAAATTGTAATAATTATTTTTTTTAATTTATCGGAGAATCTTAGAACACGGAATGCAATTAATTTCATCACTTAATTGGAATACAAACGATACATTTGATTCCGAAAATTTAAGGTTAAAATTTTCAGATTTGATTGTTTATCCTCTTAAAATTTAGTGTGTATTTGTCCTGACACCAAGTTATGGATATGTTTTTACAATTGATTTGCATTTTTAAGCTATTGTCAGATGGTGTCAAATGACAGTGCTGGACAAAAAAATTGTCATTTGCCATTAAATAAAAAATGTTCTTTGCAGGTATTCTCCATACCTTAACTCAGATCCCAAAGGATTTATATAATGCTGGAGTCGAAGACTGCATGCATGCTATTTCTATTCCAACAGGAATGAATTCTAAGTACGGAACACCAATTAAACTTGAACAACTTTCAACTCTTAAAAATTCAATCACAAGAAAATTGAACAACTACTTCCCAGGTGAGGACTTCAGCTCCAAGCTTGAATACCTTTATGATGCTAGCTTCTGGGCAAATCCAAAGACAATTAAGCTTTATTTCAATGGCTACAGTGTTAAGACAGGAAACTCTGTTAACTTCCTTGTTGCATTAACAAAGACCATTACCAGTGAGAAGATTTTGTTCGAATACGAAACAGTTCTTGTTCCATACAAGTTCGATAAGTCATTCGCCTGCCTTACAACAATCAACGAGGTCAATGGCAAGATCGATGAAGTCAAGTGCTCAATGGCAGACTCCAAGATCACAAAGGAGATGATCGCATGCGTTGCTGCTTCCATTGCTCCAGAATACTTCTCCATGACATTCCCATTCTCAGAAGCCTCAACAAAGTATGTTGATTACATCAAGGCCCACCTTTCCAAGTACCTCTCATTAGTTAAGTATCTCAAGGCTGATGAAGTTAAGGACGCCATCAAGAAGTTCGAGGAGAAGAAGAGAGTTGACTTCGATGCAATCGTTCAGCAAGTTAAGGATAAGTGCTTCGTCCAACCACCAGAGGAAGGAGAAGATGGAGATGAAGATGGAGATTTAAAGAAACTCGTAGATGAAACCAAAAAACTTCAAGATCTCTTCGAGGAAATGATGAGAAGACCAAGAAAGAACACACATAAGAGACAACGCCGCCATCATTATCACGTAAGAGGCTAAATAATTGTCTCTAAAAACTAAATTGAAAATTAAATCAATTTTTTTTACAATAAAAGTCGTTAATATTTATCTACTGATATTTTATACGATAAATGAATTGTGATTTACTCTGTAATCAACAAAATGAAATTTGAATTTTTTGGTGGTTGATAATAAATAATGTCTAAATTCTGCTACAGTCTAACAACTAATTGTATTTTTTCTAACCAAAATGACAATTTGCCGATAAATATTTGTATCGATTAAAAAATTGAAGTTAAAATCACATAATTTCCTAATACTTTTTATAAGATATCAATTTTATGCATTATCACTTGTGTTAGAACTAAATTTAAGAATAATTTATCTTCAAAAATTTATAATTAATAATTAAATTGGAGAAAAAGTATAGAAATAGAAAATACAATAGATATATATTTAAATAGATATATAAAAAATAAAATATAAAAGTTAATGAAGATTATTTTCATTTCTTTCATTTGTAAATATATTTGAAGTTGTAGATATTAGGGAAATATGATTCTGGATGTTCATAGATGATAAAGAAGACTTTGTTTGATTGTGAACATCGATTTTTGTTGTCACATGATATGGCATAAACACTGTGATTTCCATTGGAATAACGAGTTGTGTTAATCGGAATCGTGAAAGATGATGAAAAGTTTTGACTATTGCTTACTGAAGTTCGTTTTGCAATCTCATATATAGAAAATGAATTATCAACATATAGAGAAATGTTGAATTGATCAGTATTGATTCTTGAAGTTGTAAAACCTTTGATTGGAATTAGTCATGTGATTTTATCCCAAGCATATGGGGATTCTAAATTTTTGTCCCTATCGTTATCCCAATTGAATTTTTTTTGGAATTTAAAATTTTTTTTTCTCCATGTAAACTTAAATTTTAATTTTTACCACTAAAATGCAATATTTCAACAAATTAATGAGTAATAATATTTTAATTTATAATAAATATTATAAATCTCCTCAATTTAATGTAATTATTGTATTAATTTTTGTTGAAAATATAAAATCTTCAAGTAAATGATGTGAATTTAATATTTTTAGAATGTTGTTTAATTGTACTATATTATGCATGTAAAATTTTGTTACAATACATTTTATATGGGATCCCCATTGCCCAATTGAGAGAAAATTGAGAGGTGGGATTGGGCTAGCCCAATTCAAAATATCCCAGGTGGAAATAAAAAAATTAACAATTCAACATAAAAAAGCATCTTAAATAATAATGATAAAAAAAATTTTGTATGAATTTCAATCAAATTTGTTTTTATTCAACTTAAGAAATCACTTCATTAATGAAAGAAGTCGGGTTCACAACATATCCCGATCTTGAAACGAAACAACATGTTTACATGCGATATAAACATGAAGGTAGTCCCAAGTGGTATGTTAAATGCAATGAACTTGTGACACGATCTGATGGTGTAGTTTGCCGGTGTTCAATGCAAGAACAAAGGGAGGATCATTATAAAAACTGGCTTAAGACTCATGTTCACACATGCCAGGCCGGAGAAGCATTATCGCAGCAAACATTACTTGACTACTACAATAAAGGTAAACAGCCAAATGATCCAATGTTGGATTTATCGAATGTATACGATGAAATGACCATTTTTACCGGTAAGTTCAACCTTGCCTTAGACACATTTGCATCCCCAGTGTTGTGCATGAAAATTCGGTTCACTTCACTTCTGACAAAAGTGACAAGTTTACATGGCAAAAATAGTTTACATGGCAAAAATATATAGGGTATTTTTTTTAAAAGTAGTTATCTTTATATATAAAAATAAAACTTTTGATATATTTGAGTAAATGATTTATTAATTTATTTATTTATTTTTTTTAAATCAAATCATATAAATATATATATATATAATAGTGAAATAGAACAAGAGATAATTATTGATGATTAAATTGTAGACGAGGATAGAAGTTTAGATAAATTAATAAAATTAGTGTGGAATCAGACAAATTTCGGGTTGTTTGGGAAGGAATTGTTGGCTATGATGTACTGATCATGAATCAGTACATCATAGCCAACAATTCCTTATACAAAGTTCAAAAACTTGGGTGCAATCAGTTCTGATTGCACCCAAGTTTTTGAACTTTCTCGAGGGAATGGAAGGGTAAGAGGTATACATTATGAATATATACCTCTTACCCTTCCATTCCCTCTCTGACAGCGGGAAACTTTGTCTGAATGTTAAACTATTCAGACAAAGTTTCCCGCTGTTTGCGAAGGAATTGTTGGCTATGATGTACTGATTCATGATCAGTACATCATAGCCAACAATTCCTTATACAAAGTTCAAAAACTTGGGTGCAATCAGAACTGATTGCACCCAAGTTTTTGAACTTTCTCGAGGGAATGAAAGGGTAAGAATTATACATTAGACACAATCACTGGCTCATATGCTCCTATTCTGAATCTAACACTATGCAAATTTATACAATTTCTCCACAAATCTTACATTCATTTTAATTTCAACGACCATTATTACCACAAAGAATCTTACCTTCCCTACAAAATCTAACTATCTATCAATTTAAAAAATGTTACAAAATATTAAATGAATTTTTTTTCTATACGTAATTTAAAGTTCTTAAACTCTCAGCATCAGAATATCCTTACATAGCTTAGCTATATATCGTATTACTTTATGAATAAAAAAATTATTTAAATTATAATAAAATGTTTATTCGTATTTTTACTTTATTTTAGTTACGAGGCTGTATTTCGAACTCAGGATTTGGGTTTAAGTCCTTTGTCCATTTAGGACCCTGGTCCCAAATTGATTTTGGAGTAGGTTTTCCACCGAAAAGATCTTTAAGAGCTGTATGAACCCATACTGTGTTGTATTCTTCTATTGCGTTTTATACGAACTTTTATAATATAATTCTTAGATAATACATCCGATATGTAAAGTGTCAAAAATGAAGTGAACCGAATTTTCATGCATTACACCCAGAATTCACGCATGTTGCAAAGATTTTCATTATGTTCACAATATATCAAATGATGAACAAATACAAACAACTTCAGTCAGCTAATATCAATCCGGAAAAACTTGCTGACAAATTATATAAGCCTATTACACGTGATGAGATCCGAAATAGAATGATTGCTATTGCTAACAGCATACACCTTGCTAAAGTTCTCGAATTCGCCAAAAAAGCATACACTTGTGTCGCCATCGATGAAGGCAAGACATATGATTACCACAATCTTGATTTTGTCTTAACAAATCCGTTGGAGCAAATGAAGCCATACCCAGTAGAGGCGATAGATATGAAGGATGGCCAGACAAGTCAGGATTATAAATCCGCAATAACAGCAGGATTTAACAGAATTGACATTAGGAAAGTCAAGATAGGTAGTGTGGTAGTTGACGGAGGACCAGCACAGTTAAAATGCTTCAAAGATACTTGGAATGATTCATTCTATCATGACAGAGATCCAAAATACTACAAGATATTGCTTATTCCCTGTTTGTGTCACAGAATCCACAACAGCTATCAATATATTGCTGGCAAGAACAACCAGTTACAAAGTTTAGTAAAGGATGTGCACAGAATTGCAGAACTTTGTCGCATTCATGCTGACGATATAGGTGCACAATGTCCACAGCATGTATCCACCAGATGGATATATGACTATAATATATGTGTCTTTATTCTTAAGTACGAAAACAAAATCAAGCAATATATAAATGTAGATCACGATAAAATCGTACAATTGAAAGATTGTTTAGCTGTTCTTAAAAAGCTAATCTTAGTATTCGAATCGGATAAGGCATTGTTGGCAAATTGTTACATTTGGCTTCGTAAAGCCATATCAGCTCTCAATCTTTTGACATCCAATTTGCATAATGCATTCGGATCCATCTTGGCATCTTCATTAGATAGCTATACCTTGGACTCTGACTTTGGTGGGCTATGGTGTTTGACATTCTCTCTCACGCCGAGAGGAAGGTTCTACTTCCATAGAAAGTTTGTTAAAAACGAAGAAGTAGAAGATTTGGCCGATCCCTTGAGTTCCTTTCAAAGTGAGCATATTCCTGATAAAGATCCGGCAGAAGATTTACAGGACATTTACATGGATTCTATTTTTGAGGAAGGTAACACAAACGCTGTAATTGATGTAACAGATGAAGGCACATTTCGTAGAATTGTCGAATCTGATGATCAACTTAGGCTTACATTGCAAGATGTACGCGAGGATAATCATCAGACTGCCGAAAATGATCTAACAGCAGCTAAAGATTACCTCAAGCGCATTTTGGTTCAATTCCGATTGAACGAAAGACAAAAAACGCTTGTACTCTCGTTATATAATACGTTCATCAATAAGGAATCAGACATCTTTGAGAACGATCTGATGGACGAGGCACAAAATTATGCTTGGGAAGAGATCTCGCATAGAATTGGAGAAAAATCCATCCTTGCGGAAATAGCATTACGCTTGTTATGTTCATCTCCTTCGGAGGCAACATGTGAACGTAATATCAAAGCACAAAGGTTAGTTTTGAACGTTAGGCGGTTAAGATCCAAGAAAAACTTGTTAAATAGCCGTCATATCTTAATGGCAACTAAATGAAATAAACATTTTGTTATTATTTATTTTTCAATATTAAATAGCCATTTTCTTCACAAATATTTCAATGTGTTTTTACAACAATTTAACATTCAATAATTTATAATGAATCGTTCTCTTTCATTAAACATTAATTAAAACCTCCGGTCATGAATATTTTTTTGTTATTATTATTTTGTTGTTGTGCATGAAAATTCGGTTCACTTCACTTCTGACAAAAGTGACAAGTTTACATGGCAAAAATAGTTTACATGGCAAAAATATATAGGGTATTTTTTTTAAAAGTAGTTATCTTTATATATAAAAATAAAACTTTTGATATATTTGAGTAAATGATTTATTAATTTATTTATTTTTTTTAAATCAAATCATATAAATATATATATATATAATAGTGAAATAGAACAAGAGATAATTATTGATGATTAAATTGTAGACGAGGATAAAAGTTTAGATAAATTAATAAAATTAGTGTGGAATCAGACAAATTTCGGGTTGTTTGGGAAGGAATTGTTGGCTATGATGTACTGATTCATGATCAGTACATCATAGCCAACAATTCCTTATACAAAGTTCAAAAACTTGGGTGCAATCAGTTCTGATTGCACCCAAGTTTTTGAACTTTCTCGAGGGAATGGAAGGGTAAGAGGTATACATTATGAATATATACCTCTTACCCTTCCATTCCCTCTCTGACAGCGGGAAACTTTGTCTGAATGTTAAACTATTCAGACAAAGTTTCCCGCTGTTTGCGAAGGAATTGTTGGCTATGATGTACTGATTCATGATCAGTACATCATAGCCAACAATTCCTTATACAAAGTTCAAAAACTTGGGTGCAATCAGAACTGATTGCACCCAAGTTTTTGAACTTTCTCGAGGGAATGAAAGGGTAAGAATTATACATTAGACACAATCACTGGCTCATATGCTCCTATTCTGAATCTAACACTATGCAAATTTATACAATTTCTCCACAAATCTTACATTCATTTTAATTTCAACGACCATTATTACCACAAAGAATCTTACCTTCCCCTACAAAATCTAACTATCTATCAATTTAAAAAATGTTACAAAATATTAAATGAATTTTTTTTCTATACGTAATTTAAAGTTCTTAAACTCTCAGCATCAGAATATCCTTACATAGCTTAGCTATATATCGTATTACTTTATGAATAAAAAAATTATTTTAAATATAATAAAATGTTTATTCGTATTTTTACTTTATTTTTAGTTACGAGGCTGTATTTCGAACTCAGGATTTGGGTTTAAGTCCTTTGTCCATTTAGGACCCGTGGTCCCAAATTGATTTTGGAGTAGGTTTTCCACCGAAAAGATCTTTAAGAGCTGTATGAACCCATACTGTGTTGTATTCTTCTATTGCGTTTTATACGAACTTTTATAATATAATTCTTAGATAATACATCCGATATGTAAAGTGTCAAAAATGAAGTGAACCGAATTTTCATGCATTACACCCAGAATTCACGCATGTTGCAAAGATTTTCATTATGTTCACAATATATCAAATGATGAACAAATACAAACAACTTCAGTCAGCTAATATCAATCCGGAAAAACTTGCTGACAAATTATATAAGCCTATTACACGTGATGAGATCCGAAATAGAATGATTGCTATTGCTAACAGCATACACCTTGCTAAAGTTCTCGAATTCGCCAAAAAAGCATACACTTGTGTCGCCATCGATGAAGGCAAGACATATGATTACCACAATCTTGATTTTGTCTTAACAAATCCGTTGGAGCAAATGAAGCCATACCCAGTAGAGGCGATAGATATGAAGGATGGCCAGACAAGTCAGGATTATAAATCCGCAATAACAGCAGGATTTAACAGAATTGACATTAGGAAAGTCAAGATAGGTAGTGTGGTAGTTGACGGAGGACCAGCACAGTTAAAATGCTTCAAAGATACTTGGAATGATTCATTCTATCATGACAGAGATCCAAAATACTACAAGATATTGCTTATTCCCTGTTTGTGTCACAGAATCCACAACAGCTATCAATATATTGCTGGCAAGAACAACCAGTTACAAAGTTTAGTAAAGGATGTGCACAGAATTGCAGAACTTTGTCGCATTCATGCTGACGATATAGGTGCACAATGTCCACAGCATGTATCCACCAGATGGATATATGACTATAATATATGTGTCTTTATTCTTAAGTACGAAAACAAAATCAAGCAATATATAAATGTAGATCACGATAAAATCGTACAATTGAAAGATTGTTTAGCTGTTCTTAAAAAGCTAATCTTAGTATTCGAATCGGATAAGGCATTGTTGGCAAATTGTTACATTTGGCTTCGTAAAGCCATATCAGCTCTCAATCTTTTGACATCCAATTTGCATAATGCATTCGGATCCATCTTGGCATCTTCATTAGATAGCTATACCTTGGACTCTGACTTTGGTGGGCTATGGTGTTTGACATTCTCTCTCACGCCGAGAGGAAGGTTCTACTTCCATAGAAAGTTTGTTAAAAACGAAGAAGTAGAAGATTTGGCCGATCCCTTGAGTTCCTTTCAAAGTGAGCATATTCCTGATAAAGATCCGGCAGAAGATTTACAGGACATTTACATGGATTCTATTTTTGAGGAAGGTAACACAAACGCTGTAATTGATGTAACAGATGAAGGCACATTTCGTAGAATTGTCGAATCTGATGATCAACTTAGGCTTACATTGCAAGATGTACGCGAGGATAATCATCAGACTGCCGAAAATGATCTAACAGCAGCTAAAGATTACCTCAAGCGCATTTTGGTTCAATTCCGATTGAACGAAAGACAAAAAACGCTTGTACTCTCGTTATATAATACGTTCATCAATAAGGAATCAGACATCTTTGAGAACGATCTGATGGACGAGGCACAAAATTATGCTTGGGAAGAGATCTCGCATAGAATTGGAGAAAAATCCATCCTTGCGGAAATAGCATTACGCTTGTTATGTTCATCTCCTTCGGAGGCAACATGTGAACGTAATATCAAAGCACAAAGGTTAGTTTTGAACGTTAGGCGGTTAAGATCCAAGAAAAACTTGTTAAATAGCCGTCATATCTTAATGGCAACTAAATGAAATAAACATTTTGTTATTATTTATTTTTCAATATTAAATAGCCATTTTCTTCACAAATATTTCAATGTGTTTTTACAACAATTTAACATTCAATAATTTATAATGAATCGTTCTCTTTCATTAAACATTAATTAAAACCTCCGGTCATGAATATTTTTTTGTTATTATTATTTTGTTGTTGTGCATGAAAATTCGGTTCACTTCACTTCTGACAAAAGTGACAAGTTTACATGGCAAAAATAGTTTACATGGCAAAAATATATAGGGTATTTTTTTTAAAAGTAGTTATCTTTATATATAAAAATAAAACTTTTGATATATTTGAGTAAATGATTTATTAATTTATTTATTTATTTTTTTTAAATCAAATCATATAAATATATATATATAATAGTGAAATAGAACAAGAGATAATTATTGATGATTAAATTGTAGACGAGGATAAAAGTTTAGATAAATTAATAAAATTAGTGTGGAATCAGACAAATTTCGGGTTGTTTGGGAAGGAATTGTTGGCTATGATGTACTGATTCATGATCAGTACATCATAGCCAACAATTCCTTATACAAAGTTCAAAAACTTGGGTGCAATCAGTTCTGATTGCACCCAAGTTTTTGAACTTTCTCGAGGGAATGGAAGGGTAAGAGGTATACATTATGAATATATACCTCTTACCCTTCCATTCCCTCTCTGACAGCGGGAAACTTTGTCTGAATGTTAAACTATTCAGACAAAGTTTCCCGCTGTTTGCGAAGGAATTGTTGGCTATGATGTACTGATTCATGATCAGTACATCATAGCCAACAATTCCTTATACAAAGTTCAAAAACTTGGGTGCAATCAGAACTGATTGCACCCAAGTTTTTGAACTTTCTCGAGGGAATGAAAGGGTAAGAATTATACATTAGACACAATCACTGGCTCATATGCTCCTATTCTGAATCTAACACTATGCAAATTTATACAATTTCTCCACAAATCTTACATTCATTTTAATTTCAACGACCATTATTACCACAAAGAATCTTACCTTCCCCTACAAAATCTAACTATCTATCAATTTAAAAAATGTTACAAAATATTAAATGAATTTTTTTTCTATACGTAATTTAAAGTTCTTAAACTCTCAGCATCAGAATATCCTTACATAGCTTAGCTATATATCGTATTACTTTATGAATAAAAAAATTATTTAAATTATAATAAAATGTTTATTCGTATTTTTACTTTATTTTTAGTTACGAGGCTGTATTTCGAACTCAGGATTTGGGTTTAAGTCCTTTGTCCATTTAGGACCCTGGTCCCAAATTGATTTTGGAGTAGGTTTTCCACCGAAAAGATCTTTAAGAGCTGTATGAACCCATACTGTGTTGTATTCTTCTATTGCGTTTTATACGAACTTTTATAATATAATTCTTAGATAATACATCCGATATGTAAAGTGTCAAAAATGAAGTGAACCGAATTTTCATGCATTACACCCAGAATTCACGCATGTTGCAAAGATTTTCATTATGTTCACAATATATCAAATGATGAACAAATACAAACAACTTCAGTCAGCTAATATCAATCCGGAAAAACTTGCTGACAAATTATATAAGCCTATTACACGTGATGAGATCCGAAATAGAATGATTGCTATTGCTAACAGCATACACCTTGCTAAAGTTCTCGAATTCGCCAAAAAAGCATACACTTGTGTCGCCATCGATGAAGGCAAGACATATGATTACCACAATCTTGATTTTGTCTTAACAAATCCGTTGGAGCAAATGAAGCCATACCCAGTAGAGGCGATAGATATGAAGGATGGCCAGACAAGTCAGGATTATAAATCCGCAATAACAGCAGGATTTAACAGAATTGACATTAGGAAAGTCAAGATAGGTAGTGTGGTAGTTGACGGAGGACCAGCACAGTTAAAATGCTTCAAAGATACTTGGAATGATTCATTCTATCATGACAGAGATCCAAAATACTACAAGATATTGCTTATTCCCTGTTTGTGTCACAGAATCCACAACAGCTATCAATATATTGCTGGCAAGAACAACCAGTTACAAAGTTTAGTAAAGGATGTGCACAGAATTGCAGAACTTTGTCGCATTCATGCTGACGATATAGGTGCACAATGTCCACAGCATGTATCCACCAGATGGATATATGACTATAATATATGTGTCTTTATTCTTAAGTACGAAAACAAAATCAAGCAATATATAAATGTAGATCACGATAAAATCGTACAATTGAAAGATTGTTTAGCTGTTCTTAAAAAGCTAATCTTAGTATTCGAATCGGATAAGGCATTGTTGGCAAATTGTTACATTTGGCTTCGTAAAGCCATATCAGCTCTCAATCTTTTGACATCCAATTTGCATAATGCATTCGGATCCATCTTGGCATCTTCATTAGATAGCTATACCTTGGACTCTGACTTTGGTGGGCTATGGTGTTTGACATTCTCTCTCACGCCGAGAGGAAGGTTCTACTTCCATAGAAAGTTTGTTAAAAACGAAGAAGTAGAAGATTTGGCCGATCCCTTGAGTTCCTTTCAAAGTGAGCATATTCCTGATAAAGATCCGGCAGAAGATTTACAGGACATTTACATGGATTCTATTTTTGAGGAAGGTAACACAAACGCTGTAATTGATGTAACAGATGAAGGCACATTTCGTAGAATTGTCGAATCTGATGATCAACTTAGGCTTACATTGCAAGATGTACGCGAGGATAATCATCAGACTGCCGAAAATGATCTAACAGCAGCTAAAGATTACCTCAAGCGCATTTTGGTTCAATTCCGATTGAACGAAAGACAAAAAACGCTTGTACTCTCGTTATATAATACGTTCATCAATAAGGAATCAGACATCTTTGAGAACGATCTGATGGACGAGGCACAAAATTATGCTTGGGAAGAGATCTCGCATAGAATTGGAGAAAAATCCATCCTTGCGGAAATAGCATTACGCTTGTTATGTTCATCTCCTTCGGAGGCAACATGTGAACGTAATATCAAAGCACAAAGGTTAGTTTTGAACGTTAGGCGGTTAAGATCCAAGAAAAACTTGTTAAATAGCCGTCATATCTTAATGGCAACTAAATGAAATAAACATTTTGTTATTATTTATTTTTCAATATTAAATAGCCATTTTCTTCACAAATATTTCAATGTGTTTTTACAACAATTTAACATTCAATAATTTATAATGAATCGTTCTCTTTCATTAAACATTAATTAAAACCTCCGGTCATGAATATTTTTTTGTTATTATTATTTTGTTGTTGTGCATGAAAATTCGGTTCACTTCACTTCTGACAAAAGTGACAAGTTTACATGGCAAAAATAGTTTACATGGCAAAAATATATAGGGTATTTTTTTTTAAAAGTAGTTATCTTTATATATAAAAATAAAACTTTTGATATATTTGAGTAAATGATTTATTAATTTATTTATTTATTTTTTTTAAATCAAATCATATAAATATATATATATATAATAGTGAAATAGAACAAGAGATAATTATTGATGATTAAATTGTAGACGAGGATAAAAGTTTAGATAAATTAATAAAATTAGTGTGGAATCAGACAAATTTCGGGTTGTTTGGGAAGGAATTGTTGGCTATGATGTACTGATTCATGATCAGTACATCATAGCCAACAATTCCTTATACAAAGTTCAAAAACTTGGGTGCAATCAGTTCTGATTGCACCCAAGTTTTTGAACTTTCTCGAGGGAATGGAAGGGTAAGAGGTATACATTATGAATATATACCTCTTACCCTTCCATTCCCTCTCTGACAGCGGGAAACTTTGTCTGAATGTTAAACTATTCAGACAAAGTTTCCCGCTGTTTGCGAAGGAATTGTTGGCTATGATGTACTGATTCATGATCAGTACATCATAGCCAACAATTCCTTATACAAAGTTCAATTTTCATATTTCATGTATGTAACTCTCTAAAACTATAAATCTGATTTTCATTTGGCAGATCCACTTCTTGTCTTTCCATTTTTTTTTGAATCAATTTATACAAATAAACTTATAAAACACAAAATTATTATTTTATAATATAATTCTTAGATAATACATCCGATATGTAAAGTGTCAAAAATGAAGTGAACCGAATTTTCATGCATTACAGTTATTATTATTTTGTAATTTAAAATCTAATAATATATAAGAGTAATATTTATTATTTTACATTTTAATTCGTTATGATAATCTTTATATTTACAATTTATAAAGCACCGATCCACAGATAATATAGTTCAGTGGTAAGAGTCATAGTATAAGCCTTAAGTTCCCCAGTTCGACTCCGGGGCCTTTTCGCTTTTTTTCTTTTTAGATTTTTTTCTGAAGTTTATTTTTAAGGTTCTCGCTGGCGACCCCCCGTTCACCAAAAAAATTTTCGATTTTTGCTGGCGACCCCCCTTCGCTCGATATTTTTTTTGTGAACGGGGGGAGGTCGCCAGCAAAAAAAAAGATGTCAAAATTTATCCCAAAAATTTAAAAAAAATCGAAGAAAGTGCATCCCAGGGATTATAAAATTTAAGTTTTCACATCTCTAGATTGGAATACTTCGATTGTACAATCGATAAAATCGGTAATTTGTGATTTCATCTAATGTTGTATATGGAGGTGGATAAATAAGATTAAATGTGAATACAAAACTATTTGACCGCTTTCCTGTGTCATCAACACTTGAAATAATGATTTCGTTAGATCCTTCTTGGAATTGATCATTAATATTAATAGGAATTGATGATGTGAATATGTGCTCTGAATCGTTTTTGATTTTGATTGTTTCATTCTTTATGTTATGATTATTAAGTAATATAATAACAATGACAGAACCTAAACAATCAAGATCCTTTACTGTTCCCGATATGCTAAGAGTTAAATTTTGATAAAGATTATAATCTGATTTTGGCTGTTCTCTGATATTCAACACCGGAGCATTAAATTTGTATGTGAAGTCAATAATGATGATATTTGATTCCTTATTATTCGAATTAATACAGTATATTTCAAATTTATGATCACCTTCATTAAAATTATTAGGAAATGTAAAACTATAATGCAATATTGAAAAACTATCAATTGTCATATTAAAAGGATCATCCTTACTGGAATCCAAAATAATATAGATTTTAACTAGACCTGAAACATCAATATCTGTGATATTGTAATCAATAATTATGTCGAGATCTTTGTTTCGGTAGAAAACATTTTTGCTAACTGTTGCAGAAATGATAGGTTCATTAAATTTAAAACTAAAATTATAACTCCTTTTATATGATATCATTCTATACTCATCTTCAAGAAAGACTAAAAGATTGTGATCTATTTCAGTTAATTTTGGAATTGGAATATTGATTGTTGATGTATAAATATTGGTATTCGTAATTTTAATTTCTTTAACTGATTTAATTTCATCAGCAATTTGATACTTTATGGAGAGATTAACTGCTCCAGTATAATCAACAAATGATATATTAATTGGTATAACTGTATCAATATTGTAGCGATAAACATTGGAATCTCTAATTACATTGAATTCAACAATCTCTGGTTGAGAAAATTCAATGCTGAAGCTGAATGTTGCTAAATTATCTTTATTGAACGAATCAATTGCTTTGATTGTAATATTGTTATTACCTTTCAATAGTTCTGATGATATTGGAATTTCACAATTGAAATTTTCATCTTCATCAATATCATCGATTTTTATTGAATGAAATTGTTTGAAAACAAAATCATCGAATTTATAATGTAATGAAACATTTCCGAGATTTATATCACTTAAATGTCCTGAGAGTGAAATATTGTTATCTTTGTTTAAAAAGTATGTTGACTTTGGTTGATTTGTGATTGTTAGATTAGGTGTTGATAGAGAAATAATGAATTGAATTGTTAATGTATTTGATTCTTCATCATGTGAATTAATTGCTGTAATGTTAATATAATAATTTGTATCATAATTTAATGTACTGATGTTAACTGATATTTCCACTGGTTTTTCGTCTCCAACATTATACAATGAGCTATTTTGATTTGATATTAGATTTCTATCTTCATTATATATTTCTTTAATTAATTTAAACTTTCCTGATCTTCTTTCATCTTTGTATTCGATATTTATAGGGATATATTTATCGACATTAAATGTTAATGGTATTTTAATGCCTTTGTTTAGTATAATTTTGGGTTTATTTTTAATATACTTGAAACAATAAATTTTTTCTGGTGAAGTTTTTTCAAGGTTATCAACAGCATAAATATTAATACAATGAATTGTATCAGAAGGTTCAAATGTTGATAAATCTATATTTAATATGACATTTTGATATGAATTGTTATTAAGTTCATATAATTTTGATTCTGTTATTGAATTCGTGTTTTGATCAAAGTAATATTTCACATGAAATGACCCTGTTGCATCTTCATCTTTAACATTTAATAATAAAGTCATTGTTTCATTGATTCCTTTAACAAATATTGAAGGATTTGATTCGGTGTTTGTTGTATTAATTAAAATTATTTCCGGGGAAGAACTATCAACAACTGAAAAACTTATATTTTTTGTATCTTGATTTGAATCATTTGTTATTGCAATACAGGAAAGAGTATAGTCTCTAATATCAAGTGACATTATATCAATATTATATGAATTTCGTTCTGTTTCAGATGTTAAGGTCAAACTCATTGAGTCAGATATTGATGTTCCTAAGATAGAATAATTAAATCTAAATTCTTTATGAGGAACGTAACTGAAACTAACAGTTAAAGATATTTCTTTATCAATATTGTGTTTAAACTCGTTCTTATTTAATACGATTGAATTGATTGTTATGTTTGGAGGAATGTAATAATAAAACGGAAATACTTGGGTATTTGATATTTTTCCATCATCATCAATAGCAATTATATGCAATGAATGATTTCCAGTTGCAAGGTTACTAATATCAATACTACAAAAATCAATTGTGTGTTCTGATGATGTTTTTTCAAAACTTGTTAATATTGAATCAAATTGATTATCATTTTCAAAAGTATATTTCAAGATGATATTTTCTGAATCATAATCTTTGACAACAACTTTAATTTTAATTATAGAATTAATATTATGAATATAAGTACTTGGTTCCACTTCATAACTTAAAATTTCTGGTTTACTATATGTAAAGTTGAAACGATATTCTACAGTGCTTGAGCTTTTTCCATTTATTTCTTTTGCATGAATCTGAAGAAGATATATATATTCTCCTGTAATTGTTTTGGAATTTCGTATGGTAAATAAAATGTTTTGCTTATTTCTCCATTCATTTGACAATAAAATGAATTCTCATTACTAACATCTACAATTGAATAATATACCTTCAATGAATCAACTTTGTTATAATCAGTGACTTTCATATTGATGTTTAAACTATCGTTGATCCCGCGAATGTATATTGGTGGATTGTATGTATCATAATTGTCAATGATTTCAAGTTCCGGTGTATTGTAATTGAACGTGAATTGATATGATGAAAGTTCATGGTATTTATTGTATGAATCAATGGCTCTGATTGTTAATGAATGTGAACCTTCGGAAAGTGTTTGATCAATAGGAACGTTTTCTGTAAATGATTTAGTTTCGGTAACACTTCCGATGTTTAATAAATGAAATTCTTGAAATTCATTATTATTATCATATTTGTATTGTAATCTTATTTCACCAAGATTACTATCTTTGACATTGCCTGAAATAGATATAAATTGGTCTTTGGTTTTAGTGTATGATAAAAGTGGTGTTGTTGTGATTGTTAAAACTGGAGATGAAAGATGAATAATAAATTGATGAATGATATAATTTGTTTCTTCAGAATTTGAATTAATTCCTTTGATTTCAATTTTATATTGTTTTTCATATGTTAATCTATTAATATTAACTGCGATTGTTGTTGATTTTTCAGTGGATGAATCAATATCAATTGGTAAATTATTTTGTGAAACAATATTATTGTTATTATTAATGTCATAAATATTGGTGTAAATAGTCAATCGACCATTTCCTCTGGCATCGCGATAAATAAGTTTGATATCAATTGTTTGATCTACCTGATATGTAAGTGATGTTTTCATTTCTTCTTGTAATTTGATAATTGGATTAGTCATGTATTTGAAATAAAATACTTGATTTGTTGATTGTTTTCCTAAGTTATCTTTAATATAAAATGAAATAGAATGAACTGTTTCATCTGATGGAGAAATTAATGAATTTGAGATACTAAAAGATTTTCGATACCATGATGCATCATTGATATTATATGAATCATCTATTTTTGTAAATGCACCGTTATCAAGCGAATGATAAACTGAAAAACTTCCTTTTCCATCTTCATCTCGCATTTGATATTCAATTGAAATTTCATTTGTTATTCCTTTGTAATATAAGGTCGGATTAGATGATGATGTAGTAGTCAAAATTTGGAGTTCAGGTGATGAACTTTCAATGATTTTAAATGGAATCTGATCTTCTACTGATTCGGCTCTAAATTTAATATAATGCTCTCCAATACTAAGGGTTGGAAGAGCTATAATATATCGTATTTCTTGTGGATCTGATGTTAATGAAATTGTCGTTTGTGTGCTTAATGAATCAATGCCATATGAAAATGAAAATTCTTTGTTTGTTTGAAATGAAAATTCAATTTTGAATTCAATATTGTCATCAATTCCTGATTTGTATTGTACTTTTGTTGTATATTTTTTATTTATTGTAAATTTTATTACTGTAAAGCTAAATTCATAAATTGTTCCATATCCTCCATTTCTAACACCTCTAAAATAAAGTTTGTGAGTTCCAACATCGTAATTGTTAACTGGAATATCTACAGAAAATGTATGAGTGCCTGAGAATGTCTCATCAAAGAATTTTGTGGCGTATTGATAGTTATCAAGATCACCATTAGTTGAACATTCTGTCATATAGTAAGCTTTTGTATTACGTTCACCTGCTCCATTATCTATTGTCCCTGTTACTGATATTGAATTTGTTCCTTCAACGAATGAAATATCGTTTTGATTGAATCTAATTAAAGGATGATATTCTAATAATTTTCGTTTATTATCCTGATATTTAAATAAATATGTGTTGTTTGGATCAAGTTTTATAATATCCGAATCAAAATTTAAAAAATAATTTGATAAGTTATCTCTTGTAAGTGTGATATTCTTGCATGATTTTATGTTAACTGTATCATTTATATATGCAGAATTGATATTTAAGGTTGAATTTGAAAGAGATAAAAAATATTTGCTTTGTTCAAAGAATATTTGATAATTAAGTTTGATAATATGATCTCTATTGTCATTGTTTACTACTTTATAAAACATTGATTCTTTATTTTGCTCCAAAATAAAATTGCAACCCGATATTCGAAAAAAATCAGAGTTCTGTTTTTTGATGTTATAATGTTGATCATCCACACAAGCTGTAACTTCTATATTTGTATCAATCAAAGTCGAAATTTTGGCCAGTAAAACGATCAATTTCATTTGAAAATGGCACATTTTTACTTCAAAATGAATCACGGAAAATGTCTTCTCAAAATGAAGATTAAATGAAGAAAGAAAAAAAAAGAAAATTTCATTGAGAGAATCTGAAAAAATACATTCAATTTTAATGGTTGAAAATTAAATAAATAAATAAATAAAATCATGATGACTTGCTTAGTTAATTTTTCAAATTTTCAAGTGTTTTGAAAATTTTACATTTTCTCAGAATTTGAAAGTAGTAGCGGTTTTCACTATGTCATTGTTATTATGTATCAACATATATCTATTATAATTACAAAATTTTACAAACAGGAAAAAAATAATTAAATTGAATAAATAATAGCATGTTAGTATATTTCACTAATTAACTAAAGCCATCATTAACGGATCTTCGTTAACGGATGCTTCACAAGATATTTCTGATGAATTATCTTTTTGATCATAAACAACGTCATCATCTGATAAACAAAAATCTGTATCTTCGTTCTTTTGAGTAAACTGTATACAATTTTCAAAAATTGAATTTAATTTGCATTTACTTTGATTCTTTGAATCGGATTTTGTATTTATTATTGTGTTACATACGGAATGTAATTTTGTACGAGGCGAAAAGGTAGGAGATGAAGAATTTTTTTCTTCTTCAGATTTCTTCAAAAATGAATCAATAATCATTGTATCTGTATTAGGCTGTTGAAATGGATTGTCTGGCATCGGGATTTTTGTATTTTTATGTGGAGATTTTGGAATTTTAGGGGTAATTATATTTTTCGTAACATTATCGCTCTTTTGAACAAAAAATTTCATGATATCTGGCGTTTTTTCTTTTATTTGTAGCCTAAGTATTGTTGTATCTTTTGATTTATTATCGAAATCTTTTGCAATTTCCCTTGGAGATTTTGTAGCTGTTAATTTCTTTGGTTTTGGAGCAACTTTTGCTTTTGGTTTGTTACGTCCAAACGTAAATTGAGAATAATCAACGTAAAATTGCGAAATATAAAGAGCTTCTATCCAATTTGGCGATACAACAGGACAATCTGGTTTGTCCTTAGATTTAATTGCTTTTGGAGAAATTACAAAGTCGGCTAAATCACCGACTGATCCATGCATTTGGTGAATCATGTGAGTTAATGATCTTGTTGTATGGTCATCAAATCCAACAAACTTAATAGTTTTATTTCGTAAAAATAAATTCATTCGAGTTTTAGTATTGAATGGCCATTCAAAAGGATCAATGCCAAATGTAGTGCATTGTTTAAATGCAAGAGGAGAAAGAATTATGCTAGTAGTTCGATAAATTAACGATACTTCATTTGGTTTAACGATCAGAACTTGAGATATGCTTTTATCAGTAGTTACTTTAGCGCCAGGAAAGAATTGAGAAATGACCTCTTGTAATTCTCTGGTTTCGTTCTCTTTTAGCAAAGGAGAAAACCAGATGAAGCGCATTTAAATAAACGGTCACCTTTTAAAATTCATAAGTTTACAATAAAAAAGAATCAAAAACCATTTAAGGGAATGTACATTTGATGAATTATATACGACTTTTGACGAGGGTTTTTTCTGAGAACCAATCGGAATTCAAAGAAAATATATAAAAATAATATCTGGTGATAAAATAAATTACGATATATTTCATATTGAGTTTGTATCCTTTAATTAAAGTGTTTTTGCAATCCAAAGAAAGATAATTATTCATTAATTTCTCTAAATTTTGGATAACGAATGCATTTATTCATAAAGGGCAAACTAGTGGCATTTGTGTATATATTTTGAATATATTATTCTACTAAAATTCGTGGTCCATATCAAAAATATATTAATGATAATGATTGTCCTACTATTGATAGTTATTTTATCCATATCATCACTTGTGTGTTGTTAATGGCTCAAAAGAAGCAGAAAAGTGCATTGATTTCATCTTAATTTCATTTAAAATAAATTGGAGCGCTTAAATTTTCAGGAACACAATATTGTTTGCTTATCTATACACTGCGATCAAACTCTTGTCCGTCAAGTTGAAGCGGGTTTCTTTCAAGGATATTGAAACGTTCGGTGTAATAGTTTAATTAATAAATATCATTTTTCATACGCACTGGTAGAAATCTATGATTAATGCTGTTCATAGAGCAAGCATATTCGTATTTATATCCAACAGATCTTGGAGGAGTGAATCGTATCAAAGAAAAATCTGAAAATTATGTATATTCGCATTTTGATTTTCTTTAACAAATCTATCAAATATGATGCAGACTAATACTTTTATTGATGAACTTACTCATTTAGATTATATTCAATAAATGAAAACTTGATTTAAATAAAATAAAAAAAATTAAGTAAGCAAGAATACAGAGAGTCAATGCTTAAGTTGAGGTTTCAGAAAGTCAACTTTAAAATAAAAATAATTTTATTATGTCAACTTTAAAATAAAAATAATTTTATTATATCAACTTTAAAATAAAAATAATTTTATTATATCAAACATTTACAACATTGGGCAAAACTTGCATTATGTTGTGCATTAGAGATTAAATGTAACGTTATCCATTCAGTGCGAATACAGAAAAAATTGTTATTGTGGTAATTAATGAGCGAATATAAAATAATTGATCACCAAAACAATAACTATGCGTGTCGTGAAAAGTGAAATTTTTGAAAGGAAGACAGAGATTTTCAATAATATATTCGCACATTTCGAATAAAATAAAATTCGAAATAACAAAAGAAGAAACTACAAAGTATCAAAAAATTCTCTCAATCTATATTAATCCAAAATGTCTTTTACAATTTTAATTTTTTGAATGTTCGAAAAAAAAATATGAATATTGGGATGGATCAGTCACCATTTTATATTGAGAATGGATCAGTAAACTTTTTATGTCATTGAATTTAATATATTTTCATCATTAAATTTCCCTTTTTTTCATGAGAAAAAATAAATTTTAGTGAAAATTAGAGAATGAAAGAATGGAATGTTTATCCTATAAAACTTAAGTAATTAAAATGACATTGGAAGTATTTGGCAAAGAGTCTTACATTTCGATCAAGATGGATTTGATTTTTGAAATACATTTTTTCAATTATAACCAAGCAACCTCATTATATTGAACTATGAAACAAAACATAATTCAAGAAAATCGAACTTAATTCATTTGATTAATTAATGAATTTTAAAATTTTGAGAAATTTCTGCATATGTAAAATGCCGTGGCATAATCATTTAGGATATATTATTTATTTTTGAAATTTATATGAAATTTAAAATTAGAATAATGAAAGTTTTATGAAATAAAATCTCCATGATTCTTACAGATTTCAATGTTCTGAAATGACTTTTTCGAAAATGAAAATTTCAAATAAAAATAAGAAAAATAGGTAAATCCTTTTGTTGGAATAATGGTACGAACATCACTGTAGCTGTATATTGTCAAATATGTATAATTTTTTAGAAGCGGGATACATTGAGCATTTAATTTGTTCTTTTCAAAAACCAAGAACAGATCATTCAAAAAGATCTCTAATAATTAAGCAAAACAAAGCGATTATTTCATTGGTCACGCCGAAAAAATAAACAAGGCAAGCCCTTTGTAAACAAATGATCGGCTTTGTGAATTGCCGAACAAATTAACGATTAACATCAACCAACTTCTAATAAGAGTCACTACAATTTACCAACATATTTTCTACGACAATCCTCTGAGACTCAAATGCTTTATCGACTTTGAATACTCCCAAATAAACGTTCCTTTCAAAAGTCAGACCTTAATTCTTTTCAATATTGATTGAATTTCAGAAAAATTTAAACCTCATCCTCATATTAGCATCTATAATAATAGAAAAATATTTGGTATATTGAGCGGCTAAAAATTTGAATAGATATAAACTTATTTATTTGTTTTCATAAAAAATTTTTTATCATTTCATTGATGCAATCTCCTCCTCCTCCACCACCACCACCAAAAAAGCATATAAAGAGTACTGGCTCCCATTATAACCAAATAATTCTTTATGATTTGGAAAAGAAGAAGAATGGCAAGTACAAAGTATTCATTAAAGTCGATTCTATTGACTGGGGTTCTTATGAAGTCAAGAAGAGCCATAGATTCACAATTTGTGTTGGTCCAAAGCTATCATATATGCCATATGCTTATGAATTTAAGAATGGGCAATCTATTCCACGTCAACATTTGCTATTGCTTTGTTCAAGAACAACCTTATTATGGACAATGACACATTTGGTTTTGCAAAGATTAAGCTATCTAATTTCACAAAAGATACAGTTTCTTCAGCCATGTTTACACTTCAATCAGAGAAATTGAAACTTGATAAACCAATTAACGTTAAGGTAAGTGTTCATGTTTGCGAAAATGGATCAGTCGCATTTGATCCAAATACACTTAAAGATATGAGCTCTCAATTTTCGACCCCCAATATACGTTTATTTTAGTTTCGGCATATTAACATGAAGCAAGAGCCAAACCCTTAAAGACGTGTCCTCTAGTTTTGCCAACTCTTTCATATATTGTAACTATTTTCAGGAAAAAACGCAAATTCAAAATTAGAAATTCACATTTAATCGAGTATAGTATTAAATTACTATCTTTCGTACACGGACCAAGCAACAACTCAATGTGCATGCTCATTACAGACAAAATCCCCTCTAGTGCACTTAAATTGGGTGAGTTAGCACCAAACAAGCCATAAGTTAAAGATCTGAACTTGCTCCAGACAATGTATCACTTTAGTTATGAATGCACCAGAAATACGTCCCAAACTCATACATTTCTACGCAAATCACGATAATAAATATACTATTTTGTACTTTTTACAATAAATCTCTCTTTGTTACACTACAAAATCAATGTGCATTTCGTTGCACCAGTTTTGAATCTTGTTAAATAATGATTTTTGTTACTTTCATGATACAGTCCCATTTAGTAAACGGATTATTTACAAAATAAAAATAAAAAATATATTTTTTATTTACGATTTTTTATATTTGGATTTTTAAGGCATAATTTAGAAAATATTAATAATTTAATCAATTTGATATTAAGAAAGACATTTAAAATTCATAAAAGATCCAAATAATTTCATATCCAAAGTTATTAATATTTGAAGATTTGAGGAAAGAAAAGGAGAAATATTGCATATGAAATGTTTACAAAAAATACATCAGAAATTGTAAAAGAATTTTAATAATTAATAAGATTTGGATGGGTTAAAATTTGTGATGAAACCACAAGATGCTAACTCACGCCACACATACACAGAAGCATTCTATCACGCAACCACCCGATGCTAACTCACGCCACACATACACAGAAGCATTCTATCACGCAACCACCCGATGCTAACTCACGCCACACATACACAGAAGCATTCTATCACGAATCCACCCGATGCTAACTCACGCCACACATACACAGAAGCATTCTATCACGAATCCACCTAATTTGACATTAATTTTTATTAATATTATTTTCATTACTATATGCAACCAACCAATTTGACATTACTTTTTATTAATATATTTTTCATTACTATATGCAACCACCCAATTTGACATTAATATTCATAAATATATTTATCAAACTTATATGCACCCAACGAATTTTCAAATTCCTATCAACCACTTCTTTATTTTTATATTTTACAATTCTTTTATATACAAATTTAATACAAAGTTTTTATTCACTCATCATCTCTACTTCTTTATTATCTTCAATCTCATTCTAGCAGCTCTCGCATCTTTTACTTCCTTCATTAATTCAGGCAAGTATTTTTCCAACCAAATTTCTGGTTTATTTTGTAATGCAGATTCATAATTTTTTGATTGTTTTTCCAGAGAATTGATTAAATCTTTGGCATCTTGGAACGTTTCAAGATTATAAAGCAGTTTTACGACTAAAACTGCTTTATTTTTATCGTCAATATCAATAAATTCTGCGTATTTTGATATTTCGATCGGCGAACTCTTTTCTTTGTGATCCACGAGTTCATCCTGATCACCTACATTTTTATCGATTGGGAATTCTATGATTTCACCTACGTTTTCTCCTATTTTCATAACATGTATGCCTGCAGAGGGAACATGACTCTTATTCATAAAGAAATCCTTGCAATATTTACAAGGATTCTTATCAGTATTAATATCATTATAGGAGAATCCGCAATGTATGCATTTTTCGTTTAACAAGTCATTCTTCTCGCGTTTTTGCTTATTAATGGGATCAATTGATTCATTAATCCTAATGATAGTATCATTCAGAATGAATTTGATGAAAGTAGAAAAGTTTCTTGCTTTTTTTGCAAGTTCGTTAATGTGTCTATGCTTACCCTCTGCACTATTATTAGTGCTTATAGGTGGAATGCGGTGGTATGCTGCTAAATGCTCTTGATCTTTATATATCTGCTTCCATTTTTCCAGCTGCTCATCTGATATATTCTTTGTAGCATACATTTTCTGAACCGATGGATCAAAACATTTGTAATTGTCCTCAAAATCTTGGGCCGATTTTGATAATAATACTATCAGAGCAAAAACATGTAGTAAAGTATTATTGCCCATGGTTCCGAGATAGTGCCTAATACAGATATAATTTTGGAAATGATTCGTATTCAAAAATTTTAAAACTCCAGTACCTAAATCGCTCATCCATTTGATTCTTGAAAAGTGCTCCATAATGTTTAATGATTTAAATTCAATATTCATGGCTGTAAGCCACCGTTGATAAGCAGCGGATGATTCGCTGCGCCCTATGTATATCCCTAGAGGGTAACCTCGCATATAGTAATTACCACGAGGAAAAATAAATATATATTTCGGCCATGAAAAAGTAGCATCTAAGTGAATTAAATTACACTCCAACGCCAAATTTCCTGATTCGCTTGGAATATATATAAGAAATTCTATAGGATTTCCATTGACGAATAAACTATCACTTCTTATCGTTGTGCTATAATTTACATAAAATTTCCCGGGATATGAAGTTAAGATATCACCAATCTCATTATCATGCTTTATTTTTTCCTGTATTTCATCTTGCAGAGGATGTCCTGGGAGATCAACTTTCGTTATTTGAATGTACCATTTTAACCTCCCTGAAAACTCTTTGGGTAATTTTATGTTTTTCATGTTTTTTGGTACAGTAATCATCCACAACGTATCTGATACTTTTGAATATTCAAAGGATACGATTTTGTCATACAATGTGATCTTAAAGTAATAATAATTATCTGTAGAAATTTTTAAAGGGGAATAATCTTCGTTTTGAAGTAGAAAATAATTTAAGTTTACAGATCGATCAGAACTTATATTGGAAAGGCCCAAATGAATAAATGCTGGCATTTGTTCCAAAAACTTCAATGTTTGTTCATAAGTTAACACATTGATATGAATACCAGGGCTTATTAGAATTAATTGCATTGATTTGAGTTTTTCAATATCAGTATTTTTAGAGCATTCAAAACAAATATGGCAACCATCTATTGTAATTGGAGACCGATCAACTGGAATTTTTTCTATGGATTCATGAAATTGTTTGATCGCTGTAAATTTAATACCCATGATTTGTTCAAAATCTGCTTGAATTTTTTTGTCAGCTTTCAAACAAGCTTTTGCTAAAATTTCCAGAAGGTCATTGTTTTTTATTTGATTCAAAACATTAAAGTTCTTGTACATAAAATCATTATTTTGAATTAGGGCCTCATGGAAGATTAAATGAATCTTTAAACGAATAACTTTGCTTTCATTCAAATTCATTACTGATATAATATTATTTGTTGAAACAATCGAAGAGAGTAATGGATTTCTAAATGTAGAAAATAACTCTGAGATATTGTATGCAAAAGATAAAACATACTTGATTTGGTTTGTAAATTGATAAGTCTGCAAATTGAATTTATCATTCATTTTGAAAATTGTTTCGTTTGGGCTTGACATTATCAATGCTTTCATGATTGGTGTAACATTATCTATATTACACGAATTTAAAATATTAATTGATTCAAATTTAACTGCTAGTTCATAGAAAGAATATTTACTATTATCCAATATAGATCTGATACGTATTTGATAATATTCTTCACCATTTTGATTTGTTTGATCTGAAATTAAAACATTAATAAAATCTTCGATTGTTAAATCACACGATTTTCCTGAAAAAGCAAAAATATTCGAATATCTTTTATCGCCATTAATTATTGCTTGTATTAATGGTTTAGAAATTCCTGCTTTTGAGTATAATTCCTGGTCAAATGAAAAATTTTGTAAGAAACCTATAACCTGTGCATAAAATTTGGGGCGGGCAATTATAAATGCTTCTAAAAATTTAAGAATATATTGTTCCCCTAGACGATGGATTTTGATTTTAATTTGACTGAGATCTGTTTGCAAATATTTTTCACTTATAATCATATTTACCATTTCTGTAAAAGCTTCAGCGGATTTCTGAAATTTAGGTGTTGTTTCATATGTTTGAAGATACTTTACTTCATCGCTATTCGAGATAAAACGCTCTTTGAGTTCCTCCAAATAACAAATGATAGATTTATTTTCAAATCCAAATAATTTATGTCCAAAATTATATACATTCTTAATATTTCTGTTTAATTCTTTGATTTTTGAAACGATTTGTCCCCAAGGATATGATGGTGAATCTCCGACATATGCATTTGATAATGAATCCAAAACAGTGAATTTAGGTTTACCATCTTGATAAGTTATTTTATTTGTATACCATTCTTTTTGATAGGGTTTATTGGAAGAATAATATAAAATTTTTGAAATATACCCATCTGGATAAATTGTTGAATCAGAATTTACACTATTACATCTAATAGAACCCAACTGAATTAAAATCAAATCATCCGAAACATTTAATGGTAGATGAAGATGGTTTAGCATTAAAAAAATTGTCACTTTTTTAAAATTTCGGATTTTTAAGAGTATGTTGAAAATTAAACATACTCTTAATATATGTTAATAATTATCATTTGATAAAATTATTTAAATAGTAATCAAAATATTGTTATAAATATTAATGGAGTTGAAAAATTATGATCATAAAAGTAAGATGTTAGCATCTAGCCTCAGTAGATACTAAGTCATATCAGAATAGACACATATTCATCCTCAATTGACTCTTACTCATCTTCAATTGATTCTCACAAATAATCAATTGATCCTCACTACTGATCAATTGATTCTCACAAATAATCAATTGATTCGCATTAATTATCAATAGATTCTCACTAAGAATCAATTGATTCTCAGTCACCCTAAATTGATTCTCACTACTTATTAATTGATTCTTAC